TGGATGCCTCTGCGAACGCCACCTAGTATGCTTTATAGTGACTGTAGGAAAAATATAATGTGTAACACGAGTGAAAAAGGCCTTTGCTGCACTCGAGATCATTCCGCACGAGCCGCGCTCTCGTGTGCAGCAAAGTGCCACTTTCACCACTAGTTACACAAATAACTATAGTGTGAAGCCCCGCCCACCTTCTAACGGGACATGGGGTAGGAAAAGAGAAAGTTTGCTCTAAAGCCTGGTTCACATGCCCTCCCTTACCCTCGGCGTCAGTCGCTTGCAGATTTTCATTACACAAACGTTTCTGAGTGTTGATTATTTTAAAACACTGTAAATGTTTGAATTTGACTATGATGAGATCTAATAAAATTTCCTGTAATTTATAAATAGGCTTAGGCCTACAAGTATTAATCTAAGTCATTTGACAGTTTTTGTATTTATTTTTAAAAGCAATTGCAGTTATACTTTTAAAAAAACTACATACATCTTGACCTATAAATACTTTTTGTAAGGAGAGACTTTTCTCTATAGTGAGTAAAAACGATCGTGGTCAAGGAATGACTGTGTTAAAACAGCACACTGTCAATTTTTACAAAAGTATTTTGACTGAAATCTGGTATTTTTTAAAGAGATTGTAGAATAAGTCAACGTCTGTGGAGAAAAGTAATAGATAAATTTTAACTTTATCCTACAATAAAGATTATGTTTTGGGACTAGAATCTCCAAAAGAGTGATTTTATAAAACATGCCATAGTTTTATTTAGTAAAAAAAGTGTTTGACTATGTTCCCGATGATACCAAGAGTATAGGTTCGGCAGAGTGGATTCAGTGTGAACCGGCCTGCCTGGCCCTTAAGCACGACGTCGACGTCAATATATCTTCCCTGTAGGGGTGTCAAAAATGGATGGGAACAATCGATGTTTTGAACCTGTCTGTAACTAACCTAGTTTTTTTATACTTTAATACTCATTATGCATAAACGAACACGTACTACATATCGGATCTCGAATCACGATAAATTATCGATACCCTTCCCACCCACAATAAGCAGTAAGCACATAAATCGATGTCTAAGCAATCGTCATTTGCTCCATTGAAACACGAAAGTCGATTGGCTGACATGGTAGTGCATTGTCGCCTCCTGACCAATGAGAACTGTTGTTACATACTTTTATTGTCAACGTTCACCCTTCGTTATAACATTACAAAATCTACATGGACTAATGCTTATGATATGTTTCAATAAAAGCATTGTGTCATAGTAGCACTTAAAACTTCACTTAACTCTTTAATCAGGTAGATTGTACAGATAAATATGGACCTACTTTTTGGCGCAATATAAAGCAAGCCTAACCATACGACGATGACGATGTTAAAGTTTAATGGTTGAATATTGCAGAAAAGAAACTGAACATTTCGACGTGTTTAGGTTATTTATTTTATTTTGTACTAAAAATTAAAAAAATAAATCTAAATGTGTAACTTATTGATACATACATTGTTTAGTATAATTAATTTCGTGTTGGCAGGACATTCGCGCGCCGGTTGTCTTATGAGTTGAGTCTGACATCTTGAAATGTAGATTGTGTTGTGCAATGAGCTGAAGCTAAACAATGTCACCGGCACCGTCGCTGTTTTGAACTAGGTAGTTTCTAAGTTGGCTATGAAAATTGTTAACCGTGATTACAAAACTAATACTGTAGCTATAAAGTTAATAAATGTTAAAATAAAATATTTATCCCTGTCGGTGTCATCGGAATCAACTTTTGACAATCGAGTCTTGAAGCCGAACCGATACCAATGTCCAGTGGTAACCAATGGATGGTGGTATCGTTGACAATAATCGACACATCCCTTTTTAAAATCGAATTTAAATTTCAATGAATCGCACTCGCTGCACACCACTACCTATCACTATCACCCAGTGTCAGCTGTCGCTGTCAGTGAAATGGATGACGCAAGCGATGTCTAGGTTGCCGATTATTATTAGGCCTAGTATGTCAATATTGAAAGGGGTTAAGGGATTAAATAAAACTCAAACATTTTCTTTCTTATTATTTACTTGTCAAATATCAACGAAATCGGCTTAACCTCTACTACTCGACTCGCGAGTATATTTAACTAAGTAGGCAAACAGCTAGGATTCGTAACGGCAACGGCAATTTACCCGCTCGGCGCTCTGACTGAACTGACTTAATCCGCTCCGCACCGATTCGTAGCATTCAGTGGTTCAGTGTCAGTATCGGTATCGAACCCAAAACAGGCAAGTATCGAGTATCGACGATACCTCGATACCGCTGGTATCGAGAGAATTTTGGTATCGAGTATCGGTATCGGCCCACCTCTACATAGAACATGATAATATCGGTTAAAATCTCGAATTGAAGATGCAAAAGGTCGAAAAAAATCATTTTGTTAGCCTCTGCACGGTCTGAGAAAAGGTACCTCTTGTCGCTCAATGTTATTTCGCCATAACGAAAAGAGGTCCCATTTCTAATATTCCCTTTTTAAACAGATTTTAGTCCAAAAAATGAATTTTTCTGCATTCTAGTAGAAATTTAGAGAACTGCAACGAAGTTTAGTTCACGAAGGATAAAATATCTCACAAATTTTGCGGTCCCGACAAGAGGTACATTTTCTTATCTTATGGCAAAATAACATAGGGCCAACAAGAGGTCCCTTTTTTAAAAGCGATTTTTACGACATGCTTTAATAAAACAATTATTTAAATGAAAACTACCGTGAGTTAAGAAATAAATTTGTATTTCTTTCAAAGAGGACATTATAAGCTTTCTTTTGATACCAAAATTGTTTCTTAAATACGAAAACACCATTTTTATGCGTATTTGAAACTTTCAAAACAGTTTTTTTCTCAAAATGACCCTTTTCCATGACGAAATTTCTAAGTCCTATAACTTTAACAAATAAAATCATACAAGCGTGGGACTTGCACCAATCGATTCGGATTTTAATAAGGAATTCAAATATTATAACTTAAAATCAAAAATTCCCGACAAGAGGTCCCTATTCGCTTTCCACATCACATATTGTAAATATTGTCATTGTTCCCTTTGTTAAATACAGATCAAGTTTAATAACTGTTTTTTAAGTCTTGTCTTTGAAATTTGTTAACAATAACTTTTCCTCTTTCTAAACTGAGCTCCCTCTATGAAACACCTATGTATTACACTACTTTATAAACTATTATCCTAGTTAAATTAACAATAAAAATAACCACAACTATTTCTCATTTTTACCATGTAAAAGATTATTTAAATCCCAAACATTTCACTTAATCAATCACTTCACTAAGAAAGTGACATACATTGTACCCATGTTGCTGAATATAAGAGTAGGTTTAGTAGATTGTAGTGGATGACCAGTGAAACTTTGTTACTGACTAAGATCTTTTAATTTGGCCAGAAATCTGAGCTAGGATTTATTACAAATCTAGTGATCTAGAACGTAGCCCAATGTTGAATAGATTTTTGGTAGTGAATCTATTAAATGTTATCTTTGCCTATAGACAGACCCAGGCAGTCAGCTCCCACGTTGAGATTAAAATTAAACATAGTTTAATTGAACCACCCATATGTAAATTAATATGTCAACAATTGACCAAGCTAAATAAATAGGACAATTTATTGTAAACTATAAACACTTTTATTCACATGAACTATCACAATAGTAACAACTATAAAACAATTTTTTTTAACTCTGTGAGTGGCTCTCTGAACTATGTAGGCTTCTTTTAAAATAAAAAAATTAGCTTCTGCTGGGCAATATAGATGGGATGTATACTTCAGGCTAAGGTATCATTCGTTATTGGACACTGAAGTCAACATCCCATCCATCCCAGCTGTCGCAAAATTTTTTATTAAAAAAGAGCGTAGTATGGGGTAGTGTCTAAAATTCTATTTTACCCTATAATTTGTCGTTGACATAGTTGATAGGTAGCTTACAGTTGCAATAGCTCACAATAAGTTTTTCCATCAGTTTGAATTGGTAAAAAAGTTTTGACAGAAATTAGTAAATTACATTAGCGCAATCTGTCACATCAACTATGGAAATTTTTATTTAAAAACTGGCAACAGCTTTAACATGGTGATGGAATGTCTAGTTGTATCAATAGTCAAAGATCTATAGGCCTAAGTATAAAAGAGGATGTTTGTATATATATATATATATATTTGTTTGGCAGTGATAAACTCAGACACCGCTGAACCGATTGCCACGAAACTTGGTAGGATACGTGTAGAATTTCATGGAATAGGTTAATACACCATCAATTTTGTGATCCGTCCAATCGGCTCCGCCCCAGTGGCTCTGGAGTTTCCCATGTTAACCTTATGAGAAATGGAATTAATGAATCTTAACAGCTGTTTCAATTAAACAAGTTGGTTCTGTTCTATGATGTTCAATAGCATTAAAGTTACAAGGATTACCAACAGGGTGCAGCACTATTATTTCTTTTACATTTATGACAACAGCTAATTTGCAACCAAAAGGTGAGTGAGCATAGCGAACGAACTTCAACCTGGAGGCGGGTTAGCGTAGTGAACGAGCTAACCTGAAGGTAAGTGAGCGCAGCGAACGAGCTCCAACCTAAAGGTGAGTGAGCGTAGCGAACGAGCTCCAACCTAAAGGTGAGTGAGCGTAGCGAACAAACTTCAACCAGGACGTGATAGAGCCATGCGAACGAGATCATCTTGAAAATTAAGAAGTTAAACGGGGCAAAGCCCGCGGGTTACAGCTAGTAGTATTATAAAATGAGAAAAAAATAAATCAAATATCATAACAGTTGGATTATTAAGTAACAAATTGGGTGGTGGATAGTGAAGTTATGTCGACTTATAGAGCCAGAAACAATAGTAAAACGTTAATTTGCAGGATTTCAAAAGTTAGGTACATAGTTATATACCTAGCTCATAACAATTTTGTTCTCGGAAAAATTCTGTTTTTTTTAACTGTGACATCAAGAACTTTTAACTAGGCCTACTTACTGGCGCATCCCTTTACCCCACCGCTGCATTCCCCACATCAGTGCTCGATGCGGCCAGATATCTTGGGGCTTGCAAACAAAACAGGACCAATCGTCATTGTTGTCTATTTCTACAAGTTTTTCAGGGCCGAAATTCCGTCTGATACATTTCTGAAACATACAAACAGAATCAATCGAGGCTGTTTTTCAAATCTTTTGAATTGCAGGATATTGACCTTAAACTTATTGGTTCTAGTCATTACCAGAATTGTTGTCGTAACTTTGAACTTGTGCTATTATTGCTTATTTTATTTTGCTGTTTTTTATAAAATTTTTAGTTTGGAGATTCCATTTCTGTTTGTTTTTAACATTTACATTGACAAAATCATTATTCACTTTAAGGTTATGTTTTTAGGAAAAAGCATATAGCTTTGATTAAATAAATATATAGGATGGAGAGGACACAGCTAACTCACCTGATGAAAGGTTGCAGACGAGTCAAAGAACACATAAAACACACACATAATAGTAGCCTAATTGATATTTCGCCTCTTTTCAGAGCCTCTGAAAGAGGCGAAATATCAAGTATTATTATGTGTGTGTTTTATGTGTTCGTTGACTCGTCTGCAGCCTTTCATCAGGTGAGTTAGCTGTGTCCTCTCCATCCTATAAAATCATTATTCAATAATTTTTTTATATATTTTTTTTTAAGGGAGAGGAGGTAAAAATGCTTTTACGCACAAAGGTAGCCAGCCTGTAGTGTGAGACTCCTGAGCTTGTCAGACTACTCACTAAAAAAACCCCTTTACTCTGTTGGACACAGGCCTGGGATTGTTTGTCACATTACTTCAGGTTCAATAATAAGCATGAAGAACATTGCAAGGATAGTAAATAATGAAACTGGTACCAAAGTTGTCTTAGAGACAGGTTATTATAGACTAATAGTTTTGGAGTATTCAGAAACTGATGAAGCCTAAGTACTTGGGTGACACTAATATTTAGGTATACGTATTATTTCAATAAACTATTACTCACTTTACAAACAATCTTGGGACACGAGCTACAGCAGTAGCAGTCTCCACCTTCACCACACCAGCTACAGTAAATCTCCGAGCCGTCCTCAGTGGGGAAGTTAATGTCTCCGTAGAACTCAAAGCATTTGCGGCAGACCATAACGTTGAGCAATTTGTGCATCCTCATGTAACGCTCGGTGAACCATGGTGCACAACCGAGATGTTTGTCACAAATGGTACAGTGCAACCGGAATATCTTCACCTTTTCAAAATCTGTATAGATAATTACAAATCAGTTTTGTTTTTATTGTGTCAAAATGAAAAAAAAACACTTACGTTCAAGCAAAATCTCTTTCCAATTCAATAGTAATGACTCATGGTGAACGAAATGATCCTTAAACCTCTGCACTCCAAATTTCTGTCATCAAGTTGTGCTGACTAGTTTCGTTGCAAGCACAACATTGTAGAAGCTTGCAACGCCTCAATTATTTACTGTGATGTTTTGAATTGTTGCAAGCTTTGGAAATGTTCGCTTGTAACAAAACTAGTGGGGTATCATTTGGACTACAATTTGAGATAAGGAAGTTTATATAAGCATAATGCGTAAGTACAGGGGTTATAAAATGCATTATTTGGATTCATTGTGCGAGGTTAGTCTATAGTTCCTTGAAAGTTATCAACTTGTTTCTTCAATGTTGTTAGGAGAAAAATAAACAATAGGCCTACCTATAAGTTTTTGAGACCTAAGCTGAATTGACAAACTTGACTATTTGCCTTCCATTATCATTAAAATAATATCAAAAGCCCTATAGTAGTACAGTAGATCTCCAACTATCCGAACTCTAAAAAACTGGCTCTCCAATTATCTCAATCTCACAAAGAAGAAAAAGCAAAATAAAATCTGCAAAAAATTAAGTCTATTGCACGATTTTTAAATTTGCGGTTATCTAGAAGAAATTTTAATGTGTGTCGATTGAATCCATCATGCCCGTCAAACCAATGTCTTACGCCTTTTAAAATATATTTTTTTTAAATTCAAACTAGACCTAGGTCTATGTGTTTTTGATCCCCCGGATGGGGTCTGAGATCCTATTGATCCGAATGGTTAAGATTCTACTATAACTTTATTTACTGTCTCAATAGTACTTTTAAACTACTGTGATTAACACTACTCACGTCCAGCGAACAGATCCTTCCGAAAGCGTGTTTCTTCAGCTGTTGCATGGATTATTTTCCGGTTCCAAGGGCTGGAGATCCTTTCTCCAGGAGAAGGTTGAGGTGTAGAACTGTTCTCTGGACTTTCTGTTACATCGACGTGTAACATTTCTTCAACTGGGTTCACAGCTTCCTCAGTTTCTCTGCCATGCAACAGTCCGAACAACGGGACGGGGATTTGCATGTTCTGTTCCAACTGAAGCCCTCCCTCCACGACTATCTTGTCTGGCAATGGCGGAAGCTTGAGAGGAGATGTGCCTTGAGGGACGTCTGGTGCTGTCAACATTAATTTCTAAAGTGAGTGGACATAACTAATTTTGCATCAAAATTTAGTGTAATTTTACATGACGTAATTACAAGGGGGATGCAACAAACGTACACTTTGCCAGAACCATATAACATTTGAACAATGAATTAAAATTCTTTCGAACAGAGGACTTAGAGGTGAATCTGCAATGAATATCAGATAGGCTACTTCAGATGTCAGATGATCATTGTGGTAAAACTGTCACTATTGCATATATGATCTTCCACTTTGAGACCATCCAGGACAGTTTTAAGTCCTTCTCCAATCATGAGGTGTTTGATCAACATGAGATAGGCTGCAGAGGTATAAAATCTCTTGAATTTAATACTTTAAAATAATGTCAGTACTTTTTTTTAACTAGTTTCAATGGGCAAAATAATTCAAAACCACTTTAATTATTTTCAGCACCATCCAAATTTGTGCTCATAAGGAAAAATGTTGTCATCACCCCGTAAACAAAAATAGCTCATATCCTCCAGAAATAGCTCAGCTGAGCTTTACGAAAATCGTTGATCTACATTTTATCAAAGTATGATTTTGCCTGTCATAAACATTACTTTTTAGTCCCAAACAAGAAGATGAAGTTTCTGCTCATCTCAACAAGAGCGCAATTGTATGTGTTCTTTAATTATAATAACAGAAAATATCTGACTGCTAACTTTTATATACAAATTTAGTAGGTAACTAGGTACCTAATAAAAACTTGATTGAGAATCCCTATTCAATGGAATAATGTTTTATTCATTAAAACCCAGAAGCTTTGTGTGATTAAGATTGTGATGAAAAGTATCCTTCTTTACTCGCCCCGTGCTCAGCTTTGCTTTGCTTGTAAACTACTATCTTGACAAAATGTGTTGGTGTTGGGACTAGAATAAAATATACTCCTGATTTCAAGGTGACTGGTTTCTGTATTGTACAATTACAGTACTCGGGTTATACACATACCAGACTTTCCATATCAGCTCTGACTCGTAATTTATAGTAAATGACTTGGGATTTTGGCCATGACTTTAATCACTGATGGATATGGTTATGACGAAAGCCTAACAAAGGTCATGCACCACAAAGACCGAGTCAGAGCTGAGAAAATCTGGTGTATAATACATCAAAAAGTTCTGGTAACCAATAACAATGAATTATCAGTTGTTTATTAAACACAGAGACTCAAACAATAAGAGGAATTTTCAGATGCATACTAGACAAAAACAAATACATACACACACAAAATACAAATGCAACAAAAGTAAATTCACTAATGAAAATCTATATTAGGCCTATAGCTGCTCAGCCATAATATAACTAAATTTAGGTTTAAACTAATAATTAACAGTACACCAGTTATTGTTTACTATACCAACTTTAAGCTCAGATCACAACAATGTCAATCGGTAGTTTATTTTAATGTGTTTAATATATAAATCTCATTTATCTTTTAAACTGTATGTCGATACATTTACACTGTGTGTCTTTGATTTCATAAAAAAAAAAAAAAAAAAAAAAACTGAATTATCTTGGGAAGGACTCATGAAATTCTACCAAAAATATTGACTTTATTTCAGTTATTAAAAAAAATTATATCACATAGGTTGCAAAATATTTTTTAAATATCATAATAACTTGAGGAGTAACAAAATTGAAGCAAGCTTTAAATATATAAAAAAGGCTTCTGTAGAAATAAAAAATACAACATCAGTTACATGCAAAATAATAATATCTTTCCATGCAGTTTTAAGAAAGACAAAATATGCAACATCAAGCTAAATTATGTGGAGAAATGATGTCCATACGTTGTACGTAATAATTTGAGAACATCATGTGATGATTGGTTAGATCGATTCGTGGCAATACCGGAGCAGAGTTCCAGGGTAGACCGGTTGCGCCTACAACAACAACATTTTTTAATAGCCTACTTTTGTCACGATATTGCTTAAAGATGGGAAAAAGCAACTCAGCTAGAAAAGATAATAGGCCTAGGCCTAATTGAAGAATCGCGACTTTGATAGTCAAGCTTGAAGATTTAATTTGCCAGAAATAATAATTGGTTTTAGACGGGGCCGTCGTGTGGGTAAGGCGCAGGGCATGGAGGGTGCCTCGGAAGCAGCTCGGCTTTTGGGATATGTATATTTACATCAAATTGTTGTGTTTTTCTTGTAGAGTAAAATCTAAATAAAAATTTACTTCAAAAGAACCAAAAAAATTTTAATTTGAGTTCAAAATTCCAGATTTTTGACCAATATCAGTAGCGAATGCCCTTAAGATGTTTCCGTGACCACAGGAGATATTTAGGATTTTGCCACGTTTGCAGAAAACAGCGATGACGTCTACGTCCCATTGTGCCTAAAAGTTAAAACGGGACAGAGCATTTCATACATCACCAAATAATAAATGATAGCCTACTACATGAATAATAAGGAACCCCAACAATTCTCATTGAAGATACCGTCAATGAGTCAAGATATCATCAAAGAAGATACCGTAGGCTATTATTGGAACCCTTTTATATAGCTTCAGCTAGTCTTTTACCTTTTACCTTCGATGTCTTCACCACAATCCGTAGATCGGGGAATCGTCATAGTTCTCCCGTCTGGACGGGATTTTTCTGTAGAATTGATGATGAACCTGGATTTATCTTAACACAGGTTAGGTTAGGTTAGTCTAATCTAATCTAACCTAACCTAACCCAAATTTTGATTTAATTCCCAGAAATTAAAAAAAACATGAAAAAATAACGGAACAAACTCAAACTCCCTTGATTCTAGGGTACCTATTCTTTGTAGGTTGGCACCACTGACTCCAACTAAGTTACCAAGTTGTCATGGAAAACCTTACTACACAGCACGCCTAGCGGTGGACGCCGGAATATATGTTAACCGCAGCACTGTTAACAGTCAATATTTAATTTCTTTGTCTATGTTAGTTCTTAGTTGCCCTAACTTAGGCCTATGTCTGAGCTAGGTAAGTAGGCCTACAAGTTAGGCTAGGCTAGGAGCTTTTCTTACCTGTATACACAGATTCATGTTCTTCGGTCATTGCTACAGACAAGAATGCAGACGGATCAAAATCCATCGTGGCTGCCTAATTTTAAAAAATTCCACAGAATGGAATGCTTTTATAAACTTGTAAATACACTTAATGTACAAAGCTTAAATGTATGAAACCTCAGCCTACTGTCTTGCATTGCGCCCTGACCTTTCTCCAAACTTAAGTTCACAATAGGCTAAGTTAATTCTCTTATACTGTATATCTTTTCAAGGTTCTGGAATATGTATTATCCAAGCACGATTACAAACCCGAACCATTATATTGATAGACAGATCTTGCCTTGCCACACAAAACAGAAAAGAAAACACAAACAATAAAATAGATTTTGTTATCTGTTTTTTAAGTCAAGTCAAGACTAAAGAGAAAATGAGAAAACGTGAAAGAAAACGAAGACACAAAACCCTCACAACACAACCTCAAATTCTCAGGCTCGATTTCGCGCTCTCTGCTCGATTCAGAGGGCAGCAGGGCAGCCCGCGCGATTTTTAACTATTTCATTTCAGCACCAGTTTTTCGATACAGACGAAATGAGAGCATTCTATTGGCTGCCATATGTCAACTCCGGTGGCCGTGTCATCAGCTGGCTTGGAGGAGTATGTTTTATCTATGCTTGGATCTTGGACTTTGGTTGGATTGGATTGGACATAAATGATACTCGGTGATACTTATCGCTAATATCAATATCATCGATGAAATTTTGTTGGCAGTGGCTATTCGCTCGCACGCACTGAGCTATAATTCTAACTGGAGGTAGCACTGAATGTCAAAGATGCGTGTCGCCAGCCGCCATGTTTGCGTGAGTCTGGTGTCATAAGAAGCCATATTATTGCTATAACTATTATTATACTTGGCTTAAAATACCTACTTTGTATGGTCGCCATTTCAAAGAAAATTATTAAAGTATTAAAAGTATTCAAGTATGACAAAAATACTCACTGCTATACCAACCTAGTTATAAGAAGCCATGTTATTGCTATGATAAGAAAACTTACTGCTATACCAACCTAACAAAATCAGCGACTCGCTTTTGACAGACTTCTGCCATGGCAGTGCTACCTCCAGTTATAATTTTAGCTCAGTGCTCGCACGTCAGACGTGCGTCGCTGCCGCGCACGTCTGTTCCAAATGACGTCACATTACGCTCCTAATCCAGTTACTTTTATAACTGTTTGGGAACAAGTGGCACACAAAGAAAACCTAGTATTAGGATTTTGATTTTAGGAACGGTAAAATGGATGGAACGAACTTCAAGTTTATCTGGCCGTAACTATATATTGATTATGAAATTAAACTGTTCTAATCCAACCTAACCTAACCGAAATAGCTATAACATTTCAAAATTCCGTTTGATAGTAGAATTCTAAAATGAAACTGTTCTTAACTATTGTAACCTAGCCATTGAGAACCAAACTTTCTATAACATATCAAAAATTCCTTTTGAAAGAAGAAAAGGCTTTTGCGATCCATCCACCGTTGTAGTTGTAGAATGTTTAATCTTTAACTGAATATGCTCACCTTTTTTTTAATAAATTCTTTTAACGCTTCGAAATAGCAAAAAAATTAATCAAATTCCATCTTCGCCGAAATGTAATATGATTGATTAAAAAAAATGGCTTCTAGAAAAAGTAACTGTTCCCTTTACATTAGCTACACTGGAAGGAAAATGGGGCTGGAACGAATGGGTTTTGACGTGCGAATAGTCACTTCGAATTTTGTTTCTATTATTTTAGAGTTCATTTCATGATTTATGCTTTACTGGTTTTTTTTATATAAGTGGGGGGAAGTTACTGTTTATGATTATATAGTTTTATTTGGATAAGCGAGATTTTAAATGACTGTAATAACAAAAAACAAATTGAAACGAAACATGACCTCTACAGTGCACCGGACAGTAAAGACAATAAATTTGGCTTCAGCTGTTCCATAAGGATGAGAAAATCTACTATGACAGTATGTTTTATCAAAACATTACCCTCGCTAAAACCAAACTAACTGGAGTACTGGTACTGGAGTGGCATGGCTTTATTATTTAACTAGCTGTAACCCGCGGGCTTTGCCCCGTTTAACTTCTTAATTTTCAAGATTATCTCGTTCGCATGGCTCAATCACGTCCTGGTTGAAGTTTGTTCGCTACGCTCACTCACCTTTAGGTTGGAGCTCGTTCGCTACGCTCATTGCCTTCAGGTTAGCTCGTTCGCTAAGCTCACTTGCCTTCAGGTTAGCTCGTTCGCTACGCTAACTCGCCTCCAGGTTGAAGTTCGTTCGCTACGCTCACTCACCTTTTGGTTGCAAATTAGCTGTTGTCATAAATGCAAAAGAAATAATAGTGCTGCACCCTGTTGGTAATCCTTGTAACTTGAATGCTATTGAACATCATAGAACAGAACCAACTTGTTTAATTGAAACAGCTGTTAAGATTCAATAATTCCATTTCTCATAAGGTTAACATGGGAAACTCCAGAGCCACTGGGGCGGAGCCCTAAAGGATTTTTGAAATAAGAATATGCCTATATGTTAATTGGGGATGTGAGCTATCATCATGCCAAATTTCAGCCCAATCCGACCAGTATTTTTCGCGTTCACTTGTCACAAACATACATCCATACATCCATACATCCATACATCCAAACTTTCTCATTTATAATATTAGTAGGATTAAAATCCAACAATATTCAGCCCCTAGTTCCAGTGTATTAATATAAGTATAACGTATAATCATAGATAAAACATACTCGGTATAATACTTCTTTAACTTTCTTGTAATTGAAAAAAAAGTCCTTTTCCCAAATTTATCTCACTCTATATCTGCGGGAGTTATATCGGTTTGAGAAGCCGGGTCGGTTCGGTCGGTTACATCCCAGCAACAAAACACAAAACTATTTTTTACGCCTAATGCTTGCAGTCTATAAATGTAAAAAATAAAGAAATTTGAGTTTACCATTCGTAAACTAAATTGTATCCCTGGTTCAGTGGTTACGCATGGTGGTTACACCTATAATGACATTTTCAAGTGTTTATATAGTGCTGGATATATATAATATTATTTTGTTCAAGAAAAATATACGTTGTTGGCAGTGTCAATTGCTATTGTTCTATTGCAATGCTGCTACCACTGCTGCTACCTAGCTCAAGTTTCGGGAAACTAAAAATTGTCTGTCCTGTCATTCTGTCTTCTGTCTCTGTGCTTCTGTCAAAAACAGAAGAGAAAGAGAAACACATACACACCTCCATTCCATGACATCAAAGTTTTTGTTGTTATCTCAGGAATGCGTGTGAAGATGATTGTGATTATTTTCTCTGGACGCAAATAATCCTGGCTATACTTGAGATAAATTGCTCTTAAAAAGGTATATTTTCATTCCATTTTTATCAATCAATAATAGGTCTTTGGGGTACATTATTATTTCTCATAATTTTTAATTGTATAGTCTAATACAGAGTGAATAATCCCTACGATTACACATGATTAGGCCTTTATTCAACAGATCTTACATACAGTACAAGAGTTAATCAGATACCGTAATTTAATTGGTGAACTTCGACTTAGTTAAGTCCTACACTCATTCAAATAAATATATCAATTACTTCATTCAATAGGCCTTTATCAAGTAGTTAAGTCCTACACTCATTCGAATAAATATATCAATTACTTCATTCGATAGGCCTTTATCAAGTTTGGTTAGTTAGGTTGGGTACACTTCCATATCTGTTGGCACAAACAACCGAATGAGTTCGGTACCTAATATTGATTATATTCGATTGTTTAATTCGATATATCGTTTGGTTAAGTTATTTAACTTAGGTTAGGTTAACCGTACCTAACTAACCAAACGATATATCGAATAATCGATAAGTTTAGGTGGCGTTCGCAGAGGCATCCACAAAATTGAGCGGAGTCATCAAGGGTTCATATTAACTTATGAGTGAAAATTTAAAAACGTACGTTTTCATGTCCCTGGCCTTTTACTTCGTAGATACTGGATTTGTAGTTTATTATTATGTGTTTTAATATTTTTTGGGACGGGGGCAACATGTTACACACATTTAGCCTATTTGGTTTTAAATAGGTTCTAGGTATTTTTTTCGTATTTTTAAAGTCTCCTAATTCACGACCATGACGTGTCCCTAGGGTACATTTTCCAACTTTCACGCTGTTTTTAGACTAATTATTCATGCCGAAATATATAAAGCCATATTTTTATGTCATAAATGGTTATTAAACTTACAAAAAAGGAGCATAGGGCCTATTATAATTTTATTGTCATTGCAGACTGACTACCATGACAAAATAAGTCTGTCCCTCGATTTAGCGTCACGACCATTTGGGAAAAATTTTCAACTTTGGAGCACGACAGTGGCAAGCCTGGTGTCGATGGAGTCAGTTGGTTTTAGAGACTAGTTCGAGGTGTACGTCAGGATTGTAGAGCCGGTCGTTTTGAGTTGAAAGGAGGAATTACAAGATTAATAAAGGAAAGATTGTGTTTTTTGTAATTTTGGTGTGTCCATGACCGTACGTAGTCATTCGATGAAGTAGACATGGTGTTAATTTTTGTTTATAAGATATTTCAATTGCTAGATTAAACTAGAAGTCCACTTTGTACCCTCGAACATGAGGTGCAGGGCTACCGCCAGAACAGAGCCAAATAACACATAATTTCACGACCAAAGTTTCACGACCCTCGCGGTTTTTTTCACGACCAATCCAGCCTTATGGATTTATAGTGTGTTTGGTCGTGACCTTAACTTTAAGAAAATTTGTAAATTGAACAGTTTAGTTCAATTGAAACATTTAGTTTTATTATAACTAACAGTATAATTGAAGGATTGTTTAGAAAGATTTAGATTATTCCAGACAATTCACGACCGTACCGCTTGTCCCTGACCATCACGTTTATGATTTCTATCATAAAAATTTCAAAAATTAAAATATCGTCATATTTCAATGTTTTATACACAAAAGAAGCACACCTCTATACAAACATAACGATTTTTCGGGTCTCAGGTAAGTTTTTTCGGAGTTATACAAACTTAAAAAGATTTTATTGGCTTTTTTCTATTTTTTGTTTTTTTATTTTTTTCTAGAAAGACCAAATCCTACCTCATATAGTTCAGTGACCTTTTTATTGTATAATGGTCATAAAAGTAAATTAGTTTATAGCAAAACATAGTTATAAAAATAATATTAACTATTTTTAATATTCATTTAAACGTTTGTTATGGTCGTGACAGGATTTTGTGTTTTTCTACTAAAGATGCTCCTTAAAAAGAAAACTACCAAAGATATTGCGTTACCATGGACATTTTATGAAACTTCAAATGTTAATGAAATAAAAAAAATAATAAAAGTTTTGAAAAAAGGGGAAAAAATTTGCAAAGTGCTTTTCCTGAAAACGTACGTTTTTAAATTTTCACTCTTATATTGTTTTTGTCATACTGCAGTAAAAACAGTCGTTTTTAATGCATGCGTTGCGGGCCTAAAGTAGGCCTAGCATTTTTACTCTTTAGCACAGAAAACATACTACTATAGTAGTAGATGTGTGTTTACTCCCTAGTGTCTTTAGGGAGTAAAAATCGTTTTTAGCCTCTATGGAGTAAAAATCAGCTGTTGTCAACTCAGTTGTAAATTTATATTGTAAACGATTGCATGTGTCAAAAATATGTATCGATTCGTGATTCGTAATCATTTTAACCTACACAGTCTCTTTCCATAGTATTTTAACATTGCAGATATATTAATCCATTCCCAAACTCAACACATACGTCGTGGACCTGTTTCCCTCTCTTCCCATAGCATTTTAGGATTGCAGATACATTAATGTAATTGCCAAAGACAGTTCCCACACTCTGCACTGCAAGCCTTACTACTTCCTTCACCATTTCCTACGTCATAGACATCTGTTTTCTTCTCTTCTCATAGGCCTAGCATTTAAGTATTAGATAGCCTACATTTATCTAACTGCCCAAACAGTTTCCCCCCTCTGCACTGCCAGCCTTTACTACTTCCTTCACCATTTTCCTACGTCGTGGGGCCTGTTTCCTTCCCTTCTCATTGCATTTTAGGATTAAAGATGCATTAATCTTGCTGCCACAGACGATTCTCACACTATGCTCATACTTTACCACTTTCTAAGCCACTTCCTACATCAAGGACCTGTTTTCATCACTTTCCATGGCATTTTAGTAGCCTATTTTAGATACGTTAATTTAATCGCCATGAACACATTTCTAATCGCCTACACTTCCGGCATTTCAGGATTGCACATTCCTTAAAATCTAATCGTCATAAAAAGTTCCCACACTCCGGACTGCTCGCCTTTACTATTTCCTCCACCACTTCCTACGTCATGGACCTGTTAACCTCCCATCCCATAGCATTTCAGGATTACAGATACCTTAATCCAATCGTCATAAACAGTTCCCACACTCCGGACAGCTCGCCTTGACTACTTCCTTCACCACTTTCTACATCGCGGACCTGTTTCCCTCCCTTCCCATAGCATTTTAGGATTTTAGATAATCTCATAATCTAATCGTCATAAACAGTTTCCACACTCCTGAAAGCTCGCCTTGACTACTTCCTTCACCACTTCCTACGTCGCGAACCTGTTTTCCTCCCTTCCCATAGTGTTATAGGATTGTAGATACCTTAATCTAATCGTCATAAACAGTTTCCACACTCCGGACAGCTCGCATTGACTACTTCCTTCACCACTTCCTACGTCACGGACCTGTTTTCCCCCCTTCCCATAGCATTTTAGGATTGCAGATAGGTACCTACCTTAATCTAATCGTCACAAACAGTTCCCACAGTCCGCCCTGCTTGCCTTTACTACTTCCGTCACCACTTCCTACGTCACGGACCTGTTTCCCTCCCTTCCCATAGCATTTTAGGATTGCAGATACCTTAATCTAATTGTCATAAACAGTTCCCACACTCCGGACAGCTCACCTTGACTACTTCCTTCACCACTTCCTACGTCACGGACCTCAAGCTAGTGTCGTCATTTGATTATATTTATGATCCATACAGTTTCTGTTCCAATATCTGTGGAATAATGCTATCAGCTATTTCTTTATCTACTGCATTCAAAAGTCAACAGCTGATCATATGTCTTTGTTTATGTGTCAAATACTGCTTCCATAAGGATTACATTGAAACTTTGAGACCCGGTGGGGCGGATTCCTGAGAGACTTTTTTAACGCCATATAGATGTTGGCACTCACCGATTAGGTCTTTATCATAATGCAAAATTTGAAAATGATTGATTCAGCCGTCTAGGAGGAGATTGCGTATTACGAAATGCATAAGAGTCGACGTATAAGAGCTTCGCTCGCTCCGCTCAATGAATCGATATTTTCATTCAGTTGTTTGTGCTAACAGATATGGAAGTGTACCCAATAGGTTAACCTAACCGAATGAAATAATTGATATATCAAATAATCTATCAAACTTAGTCGATATTTTTGTTTGGCTAAGTCTGAGTTCTAGCGGTGACTAAGTTAACACTTAACGGGGAGGAAGGTTGTGGAGTGAAAACAGCTGCTATTTGTTTACATTCATGCAAGATAAACAAAAACACCCACGACAATGTGAAACCAAAAGCTTTTTAACAATCTACAACAATTCGAGTTGTAAAGGCAAACAGAAGTATTTTTGTTTTTTTTTCTACGCCAGTAGTATTTTACAAGAGGTGAACAAGAGAAATCGTTGATGCGGTTTCAAAAATACAATAAAACAACCAGCTACCACAACTTACATAGGCCTAAACTATTATAAATCACATCAACATTTACCTAATTATGGTATCAATAAATAATAATAATCTATATATTTAGCCTAATTAATATAAAATACAAATGTATTATATTTGAGGTATATATTAATTTACTGGATTTTGTCCAGTTGGTTAGCAGATTGTTGAAAGTCGTATAATCAAATAAAATCAAATCAAATTCAATAATAGGCTACTGTAGTAGGCCTAGATTGTGGGAGTACGGTTTTCAGCATTTGACAGTGAATCAAATCAAATAGGCCCTAGAGAGTTTGTTGATCCTACTACGGGCGTGCACACCGATCCCATAGAGCCGTGCTGCCACGCCGTACGGGACCCCTAACGACGGGGTGAAGTCGAGGCATTTTGTTGGATATGTAGCAGAATTCCAGTTTCAGAAACAAAACTCCAACAGTAAGAGACTAAAAATAAGATTCGTGGTAAAAATATTTTCTTTGCAGAATGTGCAGAATCTCTTTAAAAATTAAAATAGGCTCAAATATAAGTAAGAAATACCCCTGTCGCAGCAAACCTGCAGACTCAGCGAATTTCAACTTGTCTGATTACATTTTTACTAAAATATATCTATAAATAAGACATACTAGCGGAACCCCGTCGAAATTGACGGTTAATTTTGAGGTTTTATGTAAATTCACCTAACAGCGATAGATAGAGTGAAGTTATTAAAATCTTAGTTTTAATGAAGGGAGGATAAGCATGACTATTGTATTCCCTAAAAAACGCAATTGATGAATTCATTTAACGCAATATTTCCTACCTTTTTATCGGCTTTAGGTTGCCCAAAAGGATTTTTAGGAGTCTTATAATTGTTTGTTTCAGGTCAAAGCCACTTTCACTATATGGGAGGAGGAGTTCATATAATTAGTGTATCATGTTAGGGAAAGAGTCAATATTAGGCCTACTAACAACTAATTCCATCTGCTTTAGGAAAATCATTTAGATTTTATTTGGATTTATAAGTGAATCTTCATAATTTGTTCATGAAAATACAGAATTTTATCAGCATATTACATCAGTTTTTATTTGTATTTGATCAAATATCTGATTCTCCAGAAAGCAGTAACATTCTTACTTCGGTCCAAGCAATTACAATTCCTTCTCTTGGACACACACACATATATATATATATATATATGAATTTGAAGGGATGGTGTTTTTGGCCTCTAGGGACCTCAAGACGAAAAATTAAATCAGTCCCGGCTCCAGGTCTTACCATGGGTACTACGGTAATAGCTTATTACCTATATGGGAAATTCGCTGAAATGAATTTGAAATAAAAAAAATAACATGGGCTCCATGGGTTCAAGGAGTATGAAAGTTTCATATGAAAGAATAATATAACGTAAAAAATATATTCATACACCTTGCCATGGGTTGCCATTCTAAAGACGAAATAACAACTAAATACAAACAGAAAATCAAAACAATTGGAACAAATTACAATCACATGTTTTATTTACAGTGTGGGGTGAAAATAGAGAAGCCTGTACCTTTGACTCACAACTAAACATTCCATCGCTATGTTAAAGTTGTCAACAGTTTTAATTAAATTCGTCGTAGTTGATGTGGGCCACCAACAGACTGCACTGATCTAAATGACTAATTTCTCTTGAATACACAATGATTTTTACCAAGTCAAACCTATGGAATGACTTAAGAGCTATAGAAACCAACTGTAATGAACCATCAACTTTTGTCAGCAACAAAAAATAAGATAGAAAATATAATTTTAGACACACATACTGTGACTGGTTCACACATTTACATGTTTTTAATTTGAAAAATGGCGACATCTGGTCCATAAAGATGGAATGTCTACTTCAGTATCCAATATCTAATGCGGGTACATTACATATTTTTGGTCGAGTTTTCGACCTCTGGACGGACGACCACTAGTTTTAAACTAAGCCAGGGTAAGTTAACCTAAACTAACCCTGTCAGTTTTCAAAATCCCATTTGATGACAGAAAAAAAGAAGTGAGGAAGATCGGGCTTTATGCAGGTTCATGACTGTATTAAGTCCTTGAAGATAGGTTAGATTAGGTAAGTTAACGCTTTTAGGTAATAATAAACCCACTTATTAATTACTAGCTGGCCCGACAGACGTCGTCCTGTCCTAATGTGGTTTTATATCAAATGCTTGTTCTTTTTCAAGATGAGCTCGTTCGCATGGCTCAATCACGTCCTGGTTGAAGTTCGTTCGCTACGCTCACTCACCTTTAGGTTGGAGCTCGTTTGCTGTGCTCACTTGCCTTCAGGTTAGCTCGTTCGCTACGCTAACTCGCCTCCAGGTTGAAGTTCGTTCGCTACGCTCACTCACCTTTTGGTTGCAAATTAGCTGTTGTCATAAATTAAAAAAAAATAATAGTGCCGCACCCTGTTGGTAAACCTATTAACTTTTTAATGCTATTGAACATCACAGAATCAAATTGTTTAGTTGAACCAGCTGTTAAGATTCTTTAATTCCATTTAAATATGAGTACTCAAAAGGTTAACATGGGAAACTCCAGAGCCACTGGGGCAGAGCCCTTTTTGACGGATCTGCACCAAACTTCACACAAACCATCCTTGAATAATGCTTAATAATGCCTGAAAGTTTCATTACAATCTGTCGAGTGGTTTCGGAGTCCATAAAGGACAAACAAACATACATACAAACATACATTGGATTTTATATATATAGATAATTTATGTTACTTCCAGACTGTTTTTGCACAATTGAAATAATGAGTGAAACACAACAAAAACAATTTCAAAAATGCTAAAAAAAGTTACTGTACCTTCCTAATTTAACCTAATTTCAAAACACTTCCGCACGAATCCCCATAAAACCTAACCTATCTTCCCCACATTCCTAAAAGAACTGATTAGTCTGCAAACGATTCATTCAGAACAAACTGTGAATCGATTCCATTCCGCATGAAGTAGAATATAAACAGCTCTCCACAGTCCACATACCGACTCGCCCAAATCGCTATATTAGCATCCAATCCGCTCAATGCCCTTAAATTTGCAATTTTTAATTTTGTTTTACAGACACCCAAACATGGCTCAGGATGACAATTTATGTTGGTACCATGGAAGGATTTCTAGAGAAGCTGCCGAGCAGTTATTGTTGAGTCGTAAGTTGATGAAATATATAATAAATACCTTAATGTAGTTTACATTCAGCCCTAATTGTAAATATGTTTATCTTTATTGAACATTTTGGAACACTTTCGGTGAGCGCATGCTGAGCAGTGGCGGCGATAAAAACCAGTGGCTCCCCCTCTCAATATTCTTTAAACACACTATCGGCTATTACCACCTAAGCTTGTACTTAGGCTTGGAATAGAATCTTCTGAAATATCTTCATAGGTTACTGAAATACTATCATCATTTTTCATGACCGTGGAAAAATTGTGAATACTTCCCGCACATTATTTTCATCTACCGTGATTGCAACCGAACCCAGGACATCTCCTGCGGTCATGAAGACAACATCATTGTCTCATGCGATCAACGCAAACTCCCAATATCTCCCGCGGTGACGGAAACATCATCTTTTTCAGAAATCGGGTCAGAATCTTAAATATTCCCCTCTTAAAAATCTTGAATATCTAGCACGTTCACGGATACATTATATTTTCTTCCACTCTCGCAGCAAAATCCTGAACTTCTCCCACGGTCGTGTGGATATTATTGTCGTCTTTTCCAATCGGGGAACAAATTTAACATCTGTTGCCGTGGAGACATCATCATCGTCACCTGCAGGGTTGACATCTGCGATTGCAGCAAGTCGTGAATCTTTCACTTGAATTTAGAGGGTATGTGACCCTAGCAGACGTGTTCAGCAGTCCCTATGTTATTATGGTCGTAAAAGCCTGGGTCGAGTTAGATTTTCTGACTTTGTCCTAGATCACTCAAGCTTATAGGCCAGGCTCGGCTCGAAAATTGAAATTCTCTATTTAAAATCAACATCTACCAAAGCAAACTGATTTTGAACTGACCTGATTTTGGCCTGAGACCCAAAGGTAATATTTTTGACCTGACTCCAAGTAAACAAATCTGGTCTGCAGCCCCCTAATAGGATTAATAAAAGAATTAATTTTTTTTTTTTTAGCTAGTGTCCTAGGACCCAAAGCTAGTGTCCGGTCCCGGTAAAATTTACCGACAAATCCTGGTCAAGGCTCGCCAGCCCCCTAACACTGTGGCGCCCACTGATCCTGAGGGTTCTTCTGGTTTTAGGAAAATAAAGCAATAAGTTAGAATACTTGATTTAATGTGCAGTTTTGCACATTTATACATTAGAGAATTGAATAAGTATTTAAAAAATTAAAAAAATACTAGACCCAAGTGAAAAATGGAGCAAGTTGTTGTTATGTAACAAAGAACAAAACAAAATTAAACGTTACACGTAAAAAATAAAAGTAAATTTACTTTTTCTAAAATGTGTTAATGTTAATGAAACCTATTGTGACTGTGTTATCTTGGCAAATAAATTCTTGATTCTTGAAGCATGAAATTTATGTATTGTGAACTAACAATCAGAATATAAAGGCATGAAACTATTCAAGTGGTTAAATAAACATCTCTTCATAATCTGGAGTTCAAATTTTCATGATCCCTATAAAGATGGTCTAAAATGTCTATGCAATTTTATTCTTGTCATGAAAATAATTAATTTCCATTCCATATAGATGAAAACAGAGAAAATGGGTTGTTTCTGGTGAGGGAGAGCAATACAGCCGCTGGTGATTATGTTTTGTCAGTTCTCTTCGAAGGTGAAGTCATACACTATCAAATTCGAAGACATGGAGAAGATGCTTTTTTCTCAATTGGTATGTAACAGGCCTGTTAATATACTAGTCGTAGTCCAAACATTGACAGTAAATATTAAAACTGTTTAATTGTTTCAGTTTATTAATCTTATTTATGTTATAGAACTTGTTTTAAGTGTATGTCATCCATCTTTAATTTTTTTTTTATATTACTTGACTCTAGCTATCTCGGTCAGGCTTTGCTGCGGAATGTATTGTAAAAGGTTGTGATGCATAAGAGTTAAAGTTGTTCAAAGAGCGTGAACTTATAATTGTAATACATAACCCTAAATTAAATTAACTCCAAATGCTTTTTTGGTGGTATTCAGTTATATTAAATTTGTATGAAATGCAGAAAACACAAGCCAAGCCTTGTCAAGAAGCACAAGTAGCGTCATGATGTTTCATTGGGTAATGTGTCCACGGAGGGTGTTCACTAAAAGCTTTTTGCATTTGCAATAATCACCCTTATCAAGGTAGGGACAACTGCGGCATACTCTAACCTAAATAAATGAATGAATTTAATGTGGGATGGGTGATATACAGTTTGATTTACTAGCATTTAACCTAAAGGACATGTTTTAACCAATAATTTCAGATGAAATCACAATCACCCACGGTCTTGAGACGTTGATTGAATTGTATCAAAGAAGTGGAGAAATGTTAGTGACCACATTGACGACTCCGCTTAAGAAAGATCCTCCCCCACACGATTCCCGCAGACACGGTCGCACCAATTTGCTACACAGGGCAACCAAAGAAGGTAACTAAACTCTAGATAGCCGAGGTGTTCTAGTGCACACGTAGTAATCACAAGATCGCTGGTTCCATCCTAGATGGGTTAAAACTGGACCCAGAAACCCAGCTGTTCTGATCAATGGGCTGATATAAGTTCCTGGCCAAGAAACAGCTGATCTTAGACAGTGACAAAGATATACAGATCACCTCATTTGATTCTACACTCACTCTTCAGCCATATTGAGGATGAAAAGACACCAAAGTGTGTTGCTGTCTTTATTAATTGAATTGAATTTATTACTATTTACCATTCACTATAGACAGACTAGACTTTCCATGTCATTTAAAAATTTGAAGCCAAGAAAATAGATGAAGTTCAGGACCATCTCACCTGAGAGTACTAGTGTATTGGGTTGAATAAGAATTAAAATCAATGCAGTATCATAGCAAACAGCTGATTGATTGATCATCATTTAACACAGAATATTGTCATTAGTTGGTAGACCATCTCAACGGGATTGCACCAAGTTTTTTGGCTTCTAATTTGTACATTATATGGGAAGTCTATTCTGTGTATAGTCAATGTATAGTCAATGTGTATAACAATTACCACAAATATCTGTTTTATTTATAATTTAGTTTATATTAACCCTAGCAGTGGCCAACTGTCGTCTGGTGACGGTATGACGTTGATGCTTAGAATGGCCAAAGTCGTCTGGTGACGGTATGGGCCAAAATTTTTTTAACGGTAAAAAAAACACTTACAATCAACTCAGATGAGAATAATATATATACCATTCGAAAGATCACATTCTGAACTTTCATTTGATTACATAAACAAACCCTGTAGCAGGTATATAACAATGTCACGACGATTAGAAATCAATTGAAATTTTGGCGCGGCACGACTTTTGCAGCCGACACTTGGGAACTGGCAAAACACGTCTTGTTTGGCATTACCCTGCTCGGGTAATTTTCGTCTTGGGATGTTGCGGGTGGTACCACTGGATAGCCATTGATTTTATCTTCATTGTGGTAGTGATATTTATAACTAAATATTGATTGCACAATCGTTACGATTTTATGAAAACAGCTGTTTTAGAAATGTCTTACAAATGGCCAACAGTCGTCTGGTGACAGTATGGAAAATACGAATTATATACAGTGAAAGTTATTATTAATAGCCATATAGTATATCATTTTGAAGAGGAAGAAATTTAGATTCATAGAGTGGCAGCCCTGCACTCAGGGTTATTTCTGTATGCTCGCATGTAGACGACAAGTGAGTCATTACTGCTACAGTCTGTCAGCTGTCTTGTATTGCCATTGTTTGTTTGTGTATTGTGTTGTTGCCAGTAATAGTTTTATCCGCGATTTATTACTAAATATGTTATTAGTTCGTAGTGTTAGTGTTAGTGAAGTGTTGTGTGTGTGTATAACAGTAATCTTCATGCATAAATATTACTGAATTGTGTGAAATAGTGTTCATAAAAGGTTGTATTTTGTTAGCATCATGTCCTAAAATGACGATTCTGACATTCAGAGATTGTTGTACCTATATAATGATATACCCAAGGTGTTATACATTTTTATAAAGGTAAATGAATACACTACAACATGTTTATAATGGTTTGGGGGTAAAAAATTTTGTAAAAAAGTTATAGCCTATACTAAATAGGCCTAGGCCTACTACTGTATTTTGTTAGCATCATGTCCAAAAATGACGATTCTGACATTCAGAGGTGCTATATATGCTATATAATGATTTACCCAAGGTGTTATACATTTTTATAAAGGTAAATGAATACACTACAACATGTTTATATTGGTTTGGGTGTAAAAATTTGGTAAAAAAAATTATATAGGCTACTAAATACTGTACACTCCATTTTCTCGAAATGCGCAAAAAATTCAAAACGTTCTCAAATTGATACATAATCATAGGTGAAAATAACTTTTTACCATCATACTTATGACTTTTTTGGATTCTTTACTTCATTAGCTTTACAAATATGTAGGCTACATATCATCAGCCTATATAATGTTTCACAACACAAGCAAACACTGTAGGCTATAGTTTACACTTATTTGCGGTTTTGCGGTTATTGTATTATTATGTCCCTATTACGTACCTACAACAAAAATATTTCTAACATGTTATACATTTTTATGTAGGTAATTGAATACACTACAAGATTATTATGTTGGTTTGAAGTAAAAAAATTGGTACAAAAGTTGTATACTAAGTACTGTGAATTTTTTTTCTCGAGAAATCGCTAAAATATAAAAACATTATTATATATGCGTATGTTTATAGGTAAAAAATTATTTTTACCATAAACTTTATGACTTTTTTTGATTCCTTACTTCATTAGCTTTACAAACATGTATATATCATTATTAGTATACACATATATTATAGAACTTTTTACAACATAAACTAACACTGTACGGTTTTCAATTTTTTCGGTTCTCCGTTTGTCATTATATTTCGCCCCAAAAACTTATAAAAAAAAAATATTTTCCTAACATGTTATATATTTCTATGTAGGGAATTAGATTGTCTACAAAATGTATATAATGAATTTCCCATAAAAAAATCCGTAGAAAAAAAATACCGAGGCCGCTTTTGAAATTTCAAAAAAAAATTCAAATTTTTTATTTTTTTTCACTGTACCGATAAAATACACTGTCTAAATCATTATGATATTACTATTTCTAGATTCTCCTGTTCTTTCCGAACAAAATGAATATGAGGTTGGCTAGGTTTACTTGTACGGTTGAGTTTTTACGAATTTTCAAAAAAAGGTCTGCAAAATCGCCAAAATGGGTTGGCCATTCCCCACTTCTAACATTGGCCAATCCTAGGGTTAAATTTAGCCACCTAAAATTTTCATAACTTTTGTGACATTATGCAGTCAAATATTCATAAACCTTTGTTGATACTGGAAGTTCTCGCCTGACACCGTCCCAGTTATCCCAATTTTTGATATAGGCTATATTGCACTACAATTTATTATTAATATAGTTTCCATCCAAGTAGATTACTTTCAATGGTTAAGAACATCACAATAAGTAGTGCAAAATTGTATTGAAAAAATATATTTTCAGGAAATTACACTGTGGCATCAGAGCTTCTCAAATGTGGCTACAGAAGTTTGGAAGCGAAAAATGAAGAGGGACAAACAGCAGTTCATCTGGCAAGTCGACTGGGGAAAAACGATATCTTGGAAAAACTCATCAACAGTGGAATTGCCTCAAACTGCTTAGAGAAACTAGTTAATTGTAGGGACTCAGACGGCTACACACCTTTACATGTGAGTAAACCTGTAAAGTGTCAGTCTTGTCTGTTCATTGTGTAATATGATGAAGTTTTGGTTATATCTACAATTCATAGCGAATATTCTACAAAACGAGTCATACAGGAATTTTGGTCTGTCTGTGGTTAACCCAAGGTGCCAATTTATTCAGGCAAACTAGGGAACTGATCGAGATTAAACTTTTTGCCTGTATTGACTAAATTGGTTCAAATTTGTTTGGTTAACTAATCCTGCCCCAGCTTATTTTTAAACAAAATAATGCTTATTAACCCAGTTTTGTGCGGTGTTGGAACAGTTTAACCATTGGCTGTCGTCAATTTTTAACTGAAAAAGAACATAGTTGTGTGAGCGATTCACAGAATGTGCTAGTGACTAAAATTCTATTTTATACCTCATTTTTTGTTGCTGACATAGTTGATGGATCATTACAGTTGCTATGGCTCACAATAAGGCATTCTATCAGTTTTCCTGTTATTGTATTCAACAGAAATCAGTAATTTAGATCAGCATAATCTGTTGGTGGCTCACATAAACTATGACAATTTTGATTTTAAAACGAGAGACAACTTTAACACGGGGATGTAGTTTGTAGTTTTATCAATAGTCATGTTTCACTACATATCGTTTATCGAATACCAATAATCTGTTTAGAGAAAGATTCTTTCTGAAAACTGATGCTGAATAGCTTACATTACTACTAGATGTTTTCATGTCGATAGTTAAAACCTATATTATACCTGCTTTATTCATAGCAGCCTAATAATAAATTAACTTCTTATCAAAATGTTCTTTAGGACTTCATTTTAAATTCTATATTCTTTTCAATACCATTTTGAATAAGTTTGAATAAGCTTTTGTATAAGTTGAATACACTGTTATTTACAACAGAATAACCAATAGACGACAAACATATAAATACAAAGAAAACAGATAGAATTAAGTTAAGAGTCCTCATTCGGCTTTTCAAAGAATAAAAAAGTAAAACATGTTAGAATAATATTCATTTCCGAAGGATTTTTGTAAAAGCTAATTCTCATTCCAGAATTTTAAGTTAGGGCCTCATTCATCTAAAAAAAATGTTTTCAGAATGATTTTCATTGCAGAAATATTTTTGTTAAAGCCGATTCTGATTCTGGAATTTAACTTGAGCTCTCATGAAAACCCCTCTGATTCATTAAATCACTCCCCGAGTGCAGAAATAATTTACATCATAATATTGACCGAGGAGTAACAATATTATCAGGTTCGGTTAGTTGCAGAAGACTGTCTTGTTTTAAATATTATTTTAAAGTCTTAAAAACCAGTCTTAGTAGAGGACATCGTGATTTTTGCTTTTAATTTAGTGGTAAAACCATTTGCATTGCAACCATTATAAGGAATTAATTGTGTTGTCTTGTTTTTTTTTCAATTCAAAATTAACATGATTTTGTAATTGAACCCTAAGAAAATTTGATCATCAGTTTTGTTTTTACATTTACAAATCATTAATTGTATTCTTAATGGTTCCAAGCTTTCCACTGAAGATTTTAAGACGGAAAAGAGGTAATGTACAACTGTAGACTTATTATATCTTATAGAAGAACCTATCAATTAAATTACACCAATGAGGAAACTTGAATTAATTTATAATCTTTTGTATATTCCAGAGATTCATACAATACTAAATCAAATCATACAAATAAATGTACACAAAAAAGAGACATTACCCTAGTTCACCCCATTCTGTACCCCTAGTCACCCTAGTTCCTAGTACGTTGCTCTTTCATACCGTTTTGCAAGTTTTTGTTAACTAATAGTAATTTTCTTGTGTTTACAGTATGCGTGCCAAACAAATTTACCTAACACCGTTCGCCTGTTAGTTGAAAGCGGAAAAGCTAACGTGCAGATCAGAAACCCCAATACAGGTTAGTTAGTTTTCAGTTGATGATCATGTTAAACATTGTCACTAAACTTATTTGTGTTTTCACCTTTGCCTATTGGTACAAGTAAGTATCATTTTCCATGATTAAATTGTAGCAAGTTCTAGAATAAAAAAATGAATGTACGGTAGTTAAATTGGTTTGACAAGGTGCGCTGATTTTGATTACTTATTTCTGCATAATACACTAACTTTTACAACACACTAAACTGAAAATACCCCCGCCACAGCAAACCTCATACTAAGTGAATATAAATCTGCTTGATTGGATTTTCACTTTAAGCTGTTTAAATAACATTAGGTTTTCATATGCATTTGAGATGGGGACGCCACATGTGTGCGTATAACTTATTAACCCAAATATGAGTGAAGGATGAGTGAAGAATGGAGTGTGATGCCTTTTGTAGCTTTGTTACTAACAAGACCCAGTTTCATTAGTTAGGACCATTTGTTAAAAGCCCAATGATTAAGGAGAGCTGGGTTCAAAAACAAAATCATCAAGGTTTAACGAGTTACAAGGCTACAGGGAGGGTAATAGCATATGTTTCTTAGTAAAGTAATAATAGCTTAGTATAAAATAAATAAATTTGCCAAGTTTTATAAAAATATATCCATAAACAAGAAAACTACAACAGTTCATTTTCCATAAGAGTAACATGGGAATTTTAAATTTACAATTTTTTGAATTTTCTCCTATTTGTTTTTTTATATGCAGTCTATAATTTAGCTTTTAAACTAATGGAACTCAATTTTTAGGCTGTGTTCCTCTCCACGAGGCAGCAAGCCGTGGTCATCGTGACGTAGTGCAGGTGTTGTTGAACCTCCACGCTCCTCTGCGACCTCGTGACGGAGAAAACCAAACTCCCTTCGACCTCGCGACCTTTGGCGGACACAATTCTACTGCTCAACTCCTCGGTAACTTACCACTTTCAGCAACTGTGCTACTTTTTGATAGTTTGTAATATGACACATTATCATTTTAATTTCAATGTTGTAATTCATACAAGTTGAGTATACAAAATTTAAACTTTTAGAGTTAGACTAACTTAGCAGCAAGTAAACATATTTTCTCCTTACATTTTTGATTTGTGCCCGTTTTAGTATCCCATGTATCATATCGATCTACATGTTGGTTGGATAAAATGATTTACTTTAAAAATCTATATAATTAAAATTGAGTGTTTTAAAATATATTTCCCATAATCAGGTATACATTTAACTTTTTTTAAGTTTTTATTCTTTTACATGGCCATCCTAATTTGACCATATAGCATTACTTTAACTGTGTATGCTATCCCTCTATATTAAATACACCAAGTGTTCCAAATTTGGAAATCTTATCATATTTCATTTACTTTTCTGAATATTTTTTGAATGTTTTGCTCTCGATTGTGCCTGTAGTAGCAAAAACCTTAACATAGTTAGTATTAGGTTTGTTACATGTCTAAATGTTAAGCATTTTTGTCTAAAAACAAAACCTCCTTTAACTTTCAAGCTATATGCCCTACTATAAAATAGCAACTAGTACACTGTAAATTAATTTCAACCCGGAGTTGTTATAACAATACTAGGCCTGTATGTTAAATATCACACATCCCATCAACCTTTCAGCCAACCACAAAGTACCCGAGCCCACAACCTGCAAGCTCGAATGGTACCACAGAACATTGGGGCGTAATGAAGCGGTTTCCATTTTGAAAACCAACGGGAGCCAAGACGGTGCTTACTTAGTGAGATACAGCGACCACATGTGTTCTACTGTATTGACTGTCTGCTACGAACAGCAGATATACAACTATCCTATACAGAAAAAGGTAAGCTGTTTCCGTCGTAGTGGAAGAGAAAGTAACCTGATAGACCTCACTTCCCCCTTTAGGATAACTTCTCCTGTTTGAACTGTATAATCACTCTCTCATAAAATAATTTAAATGTTGTTTACTCAAGTCTAATCCACTAAATTTTTTCGAGAACATTTTTTTATTCAATTTTAGTTTGATTTAATATACAGTAGCGTCTCCTTTGTCAAACCTATTCAAATATTTCTCAAAACCTAAAGAGCTTTGCAGTGGCAGCAATCTGGATACTGTTCAATAGCATACCTGAAGACATCAGGACCATGGAAACTATTAATATACCCCAGTGCCGGCAGAACTTCTAAATTGGACTAAATATGCGCTAAAATAGTCGGATGACATATACCACCATCTCACTTTAACAATTTTAGATTAGTGACACAGACTATCTGGTTCTCTGGCTACATAAGTATCTGTATTGATAAAAAAAAAAACGTTTTATTTGTATTGGCTCGTCATATTATGTTTATATTTAAATAACCACAGTTTTTTTCTGTTTAGAAAAATAACCCTTCCCGAACTATAGGTGGATATATCTGCTAGCATTTTGTGAATAATAGCAGACTGTAGGCAGATATATCTGCTTAGCTTCTTGGGCTCTGCTGACGATAGGCGGATATATCAGCCGATTATTACCACAGTTATTGTTATAGTTGATTGTCATAAATAACATCATAAATCTTCGTAAAAACGCCCCTTTATTCAATTATATATTTAACCGATGTATTAGGAATAGTAAAAATACTCTGGAGTAAAAATATCACTGTTGTAGGCCCTAACAACTACTGTAAAATCTAAAATATAAGATAAATTGATTCTTATCCACTCAGCCACTTTTGTTAAACTCTGTGGTATGCAGTGCACTAAAAAAAACTGAAAGTGAAGTCAAGTGTAGGAGCCTAAAGTCTGGCACGAGTAGAGAAAGGCACGGCAAAAGAGGTCCTTTAATGTATGTGTATTTCCATACTATGTAAATTGCATAATTTCATAAGGGTTGGATAATACAGAGGGAGGGAAGATATCAGTAGACAAAGTCGAAACTCCACTGTGCATAAATAACTACAATATTCTCCTGATTAGCTCAGTCTAAACTACTATGTTAAGTAAATATTTCTATTTATTAAATATTAAATAACAATAATGTTAATTTAATGCTAATAATAATAAGTTACAATACATCAATACTGACTCAATATAATGTTCATATTATTTCCTGCTTAGGGAAGGACTTGGTCTACTGGTGGAGCTAGGGACTTTGGTCCCTTCCTGGGTTAAAATCAGGCCATCAGCCAATAGCTTTAGCTGTGTGATTATGTTGTTGCCCTCTGGGCCTAGTTTAAAGAATCAATGTGTAAAATGATGGGTTTGAGCTTAGCATTCTAGGACGTGAATGGAGGACATTACAACAAAAGTATCTTCTGCTTACAGGATAGGTTTTATTTCATTGACGATGGCCCCCTACTAGATTCGTTGGAAGCAGTAGTGGAACACTACTCTAGATGGGGGCCTGATGGTTTGCCTACAAACTTGCGGTGGCCGATACCACCCACCCCAGCCCCACCCGTGCCAAAGAACCCTCGACCTTCACTCTTCAATGGGGTAAGCTCATGAGTGTTTGGGAATCTATATATAACAAATGTTGGCTTTTCCAAGTCGATTCGGCTCTTTTATTACCCGACCGATTTCCATAATTTGGTCTTGACATCAATCATTTGAGATTTGACACCAAGCATCATCATTCATCTACTGTATTACTCGACTTCAATTAAAGATGTATTTCACCAGTTATAATTACATTATCCTATATGTTTTGGTCTAAGAACCTTCAGTGAAATACTGGATTTCATTTGACTTATTGATCATTAAGATCAGTAGTACCTGAAGCACGCTGCTGAATACAAACAACCCAAATTCTCCAAAAGAGGTATTTATCATCGATTGATAAATAATGAAATAATGAATAATGATTAAATGATAGTGCTGAAACCTCAACAGTAACCGTCAATTTGGACAGCTTTCAAATATGTTCACATTTTAATGGATTGTTTGATAGAAGCATTGTACAAGCGTTAGGGGGAGCAAGCTGGCCTGGAAATTTACTAAATCCTCTCAGAGTTTTTGTCTGATAAAAAATGTTTTGGTTGTTTCAAATTGTTAACAAGTATAATTCTCGGAGAAAAGAGAACTTGGCTTAGGAGTGTGTTGTGGGAGAAGTGTAAAGACTAACTTACCCAAGAAAAGAGCTCTACACAAAAAGTTGACTGCGATTAATTTGATGTTTTACTAGTAGAGTACATTGGTACCTCTTCCCATCCAAGCTGTAGAATGACAAGTTACAAAACTAGCTCTGTTTGAGCAGACTAATTCAGATATACATACCACTTTGTAATCACTTGTAGAAGTAAAATATCAAATTAATCATGTTGAGAAGTTTGTGAAATAACAAATTCAATGGTGATAACTTATTTAAATCTGAAGTAAAAATTAACCATGTTTTTGGTATAAAATTGCATTTACTTGTTTTGAGAAATTGTGATACATATTACCTAAAACGGCCAAAGGTTATTTCATATTGTTTCTTTTCCAGATGTCACCAACTTCAACACTACCTTTGAAGCAACATAGGTCAAGAAGTTTACAACATGTCACCAGCAATACAAGTACACTGCCTTTGCCTGCTCGGAATAAAAGTAAACCAAGTCCGCTGAGTTTACCTCCAAACCAGTCAGATGGTGTCATCAAGCCACCAGCAGTGCCACCGTTACCTGCAAAATACATTCCCCCTCCTGAAGGTGACTACTATATCATCTATCTAGTATCTTTGGCTGTAGATATAGACATTCCATTCCTGTGGTAACGCTGTAGCCAGTTTGAAAATAAAAGTAAACCTATTCAAATTGTGCCATGGACAGATTGCACTGACTATTTTCTTTCAAATACGCCACCTTTTTGACCAAGTCAAGTAGGAAATGATAATAACGTCTGTTATGTCACATTAAATATCTAACTAAGGGAGGAAATTAAATTTTTGACTGTAGAACACTCTGTTCAACTATGGTCTTGTTGAATAAAAAGTTGGCAACAGGGTGTCTATTTTGTAAATTAAATAACTTCATCAGTTTCTAATAGTCAATACTATTATATAAAATTGAGGAATTCATGTTTGTCTTTCCCTTTTTTCATCACCGAAAAACAACTAGACCAATTAGCCTGAAATTTGATTCTGTTTTAGAATTCATTCCAAGTGAAAACCTTATTTTGGAGCAACCTATCGGAGAAGGAGAGTTTGGTTCAGTGTATAAAGGAGTTTATCAAACGAAGGAAGGATTTGAGGTATATCTATGTACAAACCAGATTTACTATTAGTGAACCTTTTTAGCAAGTTTCCATAAAGGAAGTAGCTATTTCCATGGTCAACATGGCAAGATCTAGATCTTGGTCCACTGTGCTTCTTTATCTTAGAATCCCCAGAAACCACATAAATTTCTTGTGAGACACATAAATGATTTCAAAAGCCTGCCTGATCCGACAGTTTGATTGATACTGTGAAATTTGAAGCAGGCCTAAAATTTTGAATCAGTAATATTAAAATAGGTTTGGATTACAGTCATGGGCGTCCATCATTATGGGCATAGGGGAGCCTGAGTCCCCTCTATAAGACCCTACTTCAAACAACATTTTACAAATTTAAAAAATTATACTAAAAAACCTATAAATTTATACGATATAAAAAGCAAATTAGGTTACACAAATTTGGTAAATCAACTATTCAACCTTTTTTTAATTTTCTGGGACCCCTGAACTCCTCTTTTTACTGGGGATTATCCCTACCCTTAAGTCCCCCCTTATGGAAAAATTAGATGGAGCCCATGATTAGTGTTTTAATCCAACATTGCATATTACATGAAGATGTGCATTCATTAAAGTTAAATTGGTTTTAACCTGTCACCAGATAGTAGATTGCAAAATAAGTAGGTGTGTTGCGTGCCTTTTTAAATTTCCGTCTGGTTGAAATAAAAATTGTCGATGGAAATGTCACCATAATTTTTCAAAACCACTAACAAGGACGCACAAAGTAAATGTTCTGAAGGAGGGTGCACTATCTTGCTCCAGGGACGAGGAAAAGTGTCCCCCTTTGGCCTTACTTACTGTATTATGTTGCATACTTAATTCATGATTGTACATAAATTACACATCACTTTGAGCTGTCTAAAACCCTTCAAAGGTTTTAAAGTTTTATAATTTCTTAATTTTGGGTTTTCTCAGGGTGGAACCAGCAATGAAGTATTGTAATTTTACCAATATCTGTTCCTAGGAGCCTGTGGCCATCAAGACTTTACGGCAGGAACACGTTGAGTCCAACCGAGAAGAGTTTGTGAGAGAGGCTAAAATTATGATGGCATTGAGGCACCATTGCATTGTCCGGATGATTGGTCTCTCAGAGGGCCCATCGTTGCTGATGGTAACCATCCTAGAGATCTTCAGTTTAGTTTAAAACGGCAAAATGTTTTCTTATTCGTTTTTGGTATAGCGCCTTACGTAATGACATTAAACCTCAGAGGTCCAATGTCAAAAATTAACTAAAAATTTTGTGACACTAAAGGTAACCAAAACCAAAACAAGGTTGTTAAAAGTTTGTTAGAAAAAAATTACTCACACTTCAAAATAAAAATAACTAATATACTGATAATGTGGGAATTAAAATTCAAGACCTTACATCCACAAAGCCAATGGGGGTTTTCATATTTTGTAAAAAAAATTTTTTTTTCATCAATTGTTTGTTGGTTTAAAAAAAAGAAAATACAGTCAACCAAACTTCAACAACCAATCAACCCCCAAAATAAAAAAAAAATCTGATTCGCCCTAGTATTAGCACCAAATAATTATGGAGTTCCTGAAACGAACAGAAAGGATTTCACTTATTCAGATTTGCCTTTAGTTCTTTAAGAAGAAGTTGTCTCAAAAGCAACAAAATATTTTTTAAGTTTGAGCGATTAAGATATTTTGGAGAACGGACATGTATAATCGAGATCAACAACTGTCATCTGGCCTATTAAAAATTGACTTTCTTCATAATTTGTTGTTAATTTAAAAATTATTTGATATTGAAATCTTTGCCTGTCCTAATTATTGCCCCTAAGCACTGTGTTTATTGTTTTAAACTTGTAATGGAAATCCAGCTATTGGATGAAATGAAGGGTTCACAATTTACATTTATACCTTAACGACAACATAAATCAATTAGTTTGATTCGCCACCAAATTGTAAATTTTATAAACTTTTCTAGGTGCAAGAGCTAGTTCCCCTGGGGTCAATGCTTGAATTTTTACAAAAGAATCTTCAAAATGTTGGAGAGTATGAATTGAAAGTTTGGGCATCTCAGATAGCTTGTGGTGAGTAAAGCACTTACAAACTTTAAGTTGTTCACTAATTAAGTTTATGGCTCGAGAACATGCGAAGAATGTAAAGCATGTTCTTTGAAAAGTAAGAAGTATGTACAATCATTTAGAGGTTCAAAAGGAATTCTCATTTGATACTTGAGACTTTAAGGCACTTTTGAGCCAGACCCTACAGAGCGCCAAGTTTTTAAGGGGGGGTCAAATTTCCAAAGTTGTTTCCCATAATTTTTTTACTATTTTATTTGTATAAGTCTGTTTGTTTAATATAGCCTAAGTCTAGAGTATAATGACAGACGAGTGAAATGATACATCCAAAATTAAACAGGTATGCAATATCTGGAGGAAGAGAAGATAGTACACAGAGACTTGGCAGCTCGAAATATACTTCTGGCCTCAAGACACCAGGCCAAGATCAGTGACTTTGGCCTCTCCAGGCTCAAGTGTGGGGAGAGAGAGTACTACAGGGCTACTCAGGGTGGTCGATGGCCTATCAAGTGGTAAGTATGGTTGAGTAGAATGTCATCGTAGAAAACCAAAATCATATGTAGTAATATCGTACAGGTTGGTACAAAAGGAATTTTAGTTTGGTGTGTGAATTTAGTAATTGGTGAAAAGAGCACTTGGCTTTGAAATTCACGTACAGAAGTAGTGGCCATAGAAAGAACTACAGACTAATTTAATAGGACATAAAAAAAGGCTCTCTTGCAGAATGGTTTTCCATACACCAGATTCTGTGGTTGTAAATGGAAATTTGTAGAATTGCTGCTTGTTAACAAATTGACGTGTCACTCTGAATAAGACTTTACATTTACACTTTTCCCCTTTACATCGTCCAGATAAGGTGTGATTTTATTCACAACTGAATTTATTTTGTAGGTACGCTCCAGAGTCTTACAACTACGGAAAGTTTACGTCAGCAAGTGATGTTTGGAGTTACGGTGTTACTCTTTGGGAAATGTTTTCTTATGGTAAACAACCATATGGTGATATGAAAGGTGTTGACGTAAGTATAAATAACAGTTTGTTAATACTAGTTTTTTTTAAGGAAAGGCTCTAGGCCAGGATTTTAAATTGTATAAAAAGGAGGATAGCAGCTAGCTTACCTTGCAATTGAGGGTAGGCCATAGAACAAGTAGAAAAAACACTGTGCACACAATATTTCGTCCCCTAAGGGACTTTGTCAAGTGTAGAGAAAGAGTTTATGAATTTTAGAAAAGCATTTTGTAATTTATAAACTCTTTCTCTACGCTTGACAAAGTCCCTTAGGGGACAAAATATTGTGTGCACAGTGTTTTTTCAACTTGTTCTATAGCCTACCCACACTTTCAAGGTAAGCTAGCTGCTATCCTCCTTTTTCTACAGTTTGTTAATAGTATTAACAACATACTTGGGAATAACGAATAGAAATTCTATCGAACAGCACTATTTGTTAGTTTTTTTGGCTAACTTCTACTTTATTCGTTCGTTTTTAAATTAACTAACTAATAACTTCTATCAGTTACTTTTTACGGGACTAACTAATAACTTCTAACTAGTTAGAATTTTCAACTAACTTTCCCAATTATGCGGAAGCATCTCAAATACGGGTTATTTATTTCACATGATCAGTTAGGGTTGCGTACGGCCGTGAGAGGTCAGTGCCCTTGTAGACAAACAATGCAGGGGGTGGGGAAAGAGAAAGTCAAAGTCCAGTTGCTTTGGAATGCAGTGGGCCTGTGGAAGGGTAGTGACGGCCATTATCAATACCCCAAGCACTGATGGGTAGGAAGGGGAAATGTTTGTTTGGTGATTGAGATATCATCTCAAGTGTCAAAACATTGTCTTTAGTTGATGTTCATTATCTGACAAGTTTTATGTCATTTGTTTATGTTGTAGTAATGTAAAATGTGACAATGTTTGACTAAAACACAAGTACCAGGGGACCGATCTTGCTCGAGGAGTTTGGTTTGTTCAAGAGGTAAAAAATAGAGCAACAAATATTTTCAGTCGTACTACGATTAATTAAGTAGTATAGACAATTCGTTTTTGTTAGACATCCATTTATCTTCAATTTAGTCTACAAAACGTTTTAATCTGGACGATCAATCTATAAAATGTCCACAATAAGCTTCAATCAATATAACTCATGATACATAACATCTGCTATCTGACAACCGTTATTGCATTAAGTCACTGGGATCGTGGAACGTTGCAACTATAATTACGGGATGGTGTAATAAGTAATAACGCATCAATTCGTGCGGTGCATCGTCGAAAAATACAAATCTCCTTGGCCTTTCCTTTAGATTTGTGTTCAATGTTAGCGTATATTGTTTTGCAGTAAAACATTTAATGTTTTTGAACAGTCGTAATTATCCCTTTGGTTAGTAAGACATCATACAATGCAAATGTATTATACAAGCAATTTTCAATAGCATTGAAATTGGAGGAAATCGTAGGAGCCATTTTTAAATCATATTGTGCACAATCTTTACTCATATTATAGTATGTATTAGTAACCAAGATGTCACATTAAAAAATACTTTAAAACAACTGTCCAACGAACAGCTAATTTCTACTAAAACTAACTTTATTTTCTATTAGTTGGTTTTTCAACTAACTACAGTAGACCCCCTCTTAACCGACCTCGTATTAACCGATAATCGGATTATCCGCCTTCGATCCTAAAATAATACAGTTTGTTTTAACCGACCTTGCTTTGAGAGCAGCTCGGTTTAACCGCCGCTTTCTAGGAACCTCGGCATTTACGCTGGGCGATGAGAACTGAACCATACGCTTATCTCCACAGGATATGACTAACAATAAGTTATTTTGTGTTGATCACAAAAAATATAGCATAGCCTATTGTCAGTTTGTCATCATCGTTCGTAGCTCGAGCCCATCTGATCTGATTTGTTATCTGTGCGGCAAATTTATAACATCATAAAGTGCGTTACGATTTTGAGAACTGATTACTGATTATCTTATCGCCGGAGTAAACAAACAACGCAACTTGTAGGGAAGGCAGGGAAGGGGGGTTAACAACTCCAAGGTCAAGATAGTTTTTGTGCCTCGAGCCTCCAGTGAGAGGCTATAAATAAACGTCCTGTTTTGTAACAAAATGGTCGCTTGTATCTTTAATGTCAACAAAAGGTTCTGTACTGTATTACGATGTTTTTGGAAAGCATCCATTAATACATTACAGTACTAAAGTTATTAAAATATGAATTTTATTGACTCTTGTCTAGTATTATAACATATTCCACTGAAAGTAGGCCTATTTGACCTAACCGTTTTTTGTGTTATTTGTGACTTTTCTATCAATATGAAAACTAGGAAATAAGAGTAGTTTATTTTATAAATAATGCAAGTATGACATCAAAATAATGATTAATTCCAAATGAATTGCACTTCATTATGTTATGATTTTAGGGATTGCCCGTTTTATCCGACCTAGGTCCGGTCCCATTGTGGTCGGTTAAGAGGGGGTCTACTGTAATAACTTCTATCAGTTACTTTTTAAAGTAACTAACTTATAACTTTTATCAGTTACTTTTTACGGGACTAACTTATAACTTCTAACTAGTTAGAATTTTTGACTAACTTTCCCAACTAGTATTAACTTAATACTGTAAAGGTTTGTGAAGCCAGCAGCATTAGGTCCATAAGTATTCTGGCTAGAGTTGTTTGTCTGTCTACGCCATATGTCCAAATGATTTTTTTCAATTATTTTGTTATAAATATTTAAGTTTTAACAGAAACCACAGTCTTACCTTATGATCTCCACCCTTTAAATGGACAATAGGTACCAGTACATCACAAGTAGGAGAAAGTAAAAAAAAAACCTAATCCCTCCAATGAGTTGGATAAAATTAGTCTGTGTGTTAACAGTGTGTTGACCTTATAGATTTTTGTAACTTAACGCAAGTTAATTGCAACAGGTGATACAGCTTGTAGAGAAGGGGGAGCGGTTAGACCAACCGCAGGACTGTCCTAACCACATATACAATGTTATGGAGAGATGTTGGTCATATCAACCTCGAGACAGACCTACCTTCAGTGAGCTGGTTGACATATTCTCTTCTGAAAACAACTACACCAACGTCAAGGAACTGATCCCTCAATCAGATATCAGCTAAGAACTGTGTATCTCAATCAAGTCTTAATTGAACCAGAAGGGTTTATTTAGGTGATAACAGGTCTGAGTATCAGATGCCATATTTTTAATGTGATTGCTGTGAGATCTCTTGGAAAAAGTTTACTGGTGTATTATTTAGAATTGTTCTTTCGGAATCAAAACAAATTTAAGTCCGAACAAATGGTTTGCTATGGGCATTGAATGTCTAAATTAGTAGGTTGTGGTATTGATTTAAATCCCCGGGGATCGAGCTGATCTTGTGGTAGAACGCTGAACTTATGGGTTAAATCCTTCTAATTACCAATGGATTTTATCTAAGTGGTAATGCCGCAACCTCTAGGCCTAGCCTGAAGTAACGTGAAAAACAATCCCGGGCTAGAACGCAGATAAAAAAAGAGTTGAATCTTCAACCCTTGTAGCAAAGGTGAACTCAGTGTTATCCCCCTTCAATAATTGATATTTAGAGTAAAACCCAGTAAAAGTAAATAGTAACTTAAAAAGCCTACCATATTAGAAGAAAATCATTTATTGATTTTGATATAAAAATTTAACTAAGTTTAGCGAGTAAATTGTTTTTGTAAAGCCTGTGTTAATGTTTAGCATTTTAAGTACATTCCAAATTTAATTACTGTGACATATCTTTATGTTGGAATTACCTCTGAAAATTGCATAGAGTTACATTATATGGTTGGTATTTGATATGGAATACTTAAGCGTTTGATGTTAACCCATTGACGACGTAAGCGTGTAGCCCGTCACAGCATTTTACCGCGATATAGTTGTACTGCTAATCCACTGGTCCTCAAGTACATAGTACGTCTAACCTAAGTTGACATCTAACCTACGAGTGGAGTGTCGTTGTGTGCTTATAGTGGCAATCGACCTGTTCGGCGAAAGGTGGTATGGTAGCTCAGTTGGCTAAGGTGTTGCACTGATGAGTGTAGCGTTGAGGCCTCTCTCCAACTGCGGGTTCGAATCCCGAACATGTGAAAATTCATGTTGAGCTTGCTAATGTGTGGCTTAGCTTGAGTGGAGGGCCCACCTTAAACAAACGGTGTCCTGCACGGTGGATGTTGACGGAATTAGCGAGTTTAATAAGGATTGCACTGACTCTACGCCTATTTTTTTGTATAGGACGATTTTTATTTTTTGGCTTGTATTTTAGTTAGTGATGGGGCATTCGAATACAGAATCGAATACTTATTCGAATACAACCAAGGTATTCAAAGATTCGAATACTTCTGCCTGTATTCGAATTATTATTATTATTATTATTATTATTATTATTTGTTGTCATGAGAGCCGAAGCCCCCTGACTGCTTACCCGGTACCTATCCTCCAGGACATACCCGGGCCCCATGATGTAGGCCGAAGCTTACGCATCAACCTTTAGCACATCATGGGCGGATGACTTAAGGTCATCAGGCTCGCCGGCTGCCGAAGCAGACCCTTCGGAAAGAGGGTTGCCCCTCAATCCTAACCAGGGATTCCGGCTGCTTGTTTAAGCGTCACTCCACCTGGGTTCCACTAGGTCGGAACCTAGAGGTCCATAGTAGAGCGCCCCGACGCATTTAGTGCAAGCAACACTCGGGACCTATCTCATCCCTGACAGGCAGAACCCGCCATCAATAGCCAGGAGGAAGGGGACCATCAGCACGCTGACGGGGGGAACCCCAACCTCCCATTTACACCGCTGCCCGATCGAGGCCTGACCCATTGCTGGGAACCAGAGATATCCAGAGCGATAGATCCCCAGATACCCCTGGCGGGCTCGGACCCAGCACCCGATCTACTTCGTTTGCCCGTCAGACCCAACATCACTGCCAGGCCATCAGGGTTTCCCAAAAGGAGGCAGGTATAGAAGTGGGACCCACCCGGATGAACCTATCCACCAGAGGTGGCGACACCCTTGACTCAATTGAGGTTCCGGGAAGAACCCCCCACACTCAAGATAACCATACCGTCCGTGCTCAGAGACAGGGATAGGTTTGCATAAGTACCTACAAACCGTTGCCCTCACACTGCGGAAAGTTACGTTGCCCTTGAGTGTCCCCGTGAGCTGCGGGTACTTGCCCGTTTTCACCTCCAGGAAAGGTTACTTCCAAAGTCGAGGATTTGCCCACTGAATGCTGGTCGCACACCACAAGCAGGCCGAAGCCCAAAGTACCACAGACACAGGTAGGTTAGAGATTATGATGTACTTCCATCTCTCCTAGAGCTAAACACCCCTCCATCCTGGATAAAGGAATGTCACTGGGACCCGATGCCCAGTCGACCATGTCTGTGGCCAACTTGAAATGCCGATACCAACACGGAGCATTTACCTCCCCTCTGGGGGCTAGGTATTTCACCTCCCAGGACGAGGCTACTTCCAAAGTCGAGGATATGCCTCACAAACTGTCAGTCGAACACAACAGGTAGGACTCAGTCACAACCACAGTTACAGGTATTCGCCTGGTACACAGGCAGGTATTACAGGTATTACCTGTATTCGAATACTGAAATTCGGCCGTGTTCGAATACTTTGAATTCATTCAAACCAATCTAGTTTGAAAACTCAGAATGAATGAATTTGAATTCGGCCGATGTGTTACGAGTTCGAATGCACTGAATACTAGTGTTATGAATACCTTTAGTTTGCTTAATCCACAACAAATTATAGGCTAAGTTTACTTACTTGGAATGGAATCTTCACTTTACCCGACTCAGGAATGATCAGTTTATTGTCTCATTAAAATGTGAAATTTGGACACTACCAGCATTTATTAATTATTAGATAAAATAAATCAATTAACCTAGTAATGAATCACAATGTTTCAAGTTGAAATTAACATCTCACTAAATCTGTTATAATGAATACTTTTGTCTAGTTATTTCACAATATTAAATTATTCATTTATTCATTACCTAACTGAATGAATGTGAACAATAATCTATTTCATTTGCTGGGTTTCAGTTATTTTGAAATGTAACCTAATTATTGTAGAGGAGAACTGAACTACTTTTATTTTCATTTATATGTATTTATTTATACATGAATGGCAACAATGCTTTGATTTACTAAACTAGACTTGGGAAAATTGAAACTGCCATATTGGTTTATTTACATGTTGCTATGGAGAAACAAAATATTGTTTAGATTTTCGGGATTAAGTCTACAAAAGTATTCGATTATCTAGTCACTAGAGCGCCAGCGCCATGCCGTCAGGGATCAGGGGTGCCAATTGCAAAAGTATTCGAATACAAGTATTCGAACACATGTATTCGAATTCTCTAAATTATTCGATTATCCCATCACTAATTTTAGTAATGGGCATATCGTGTTGAAATATATTTAAAATACATTAAAGGACATAACCTAAAAAATATTAATAGAGAAATAAAGAAAAATTCCGGCGTCAAAGGGTTAAAAAAGCATTACAGTGCTGCTCAATCTTACAGTGTATTTATCAGGGAGTGTAATAGTAGTTTACGCAACAATCACGTATAGGTAATGTTAACGACACAAGTAGAAGCCACGAGTTTCGTTAAAACTATTATTTACGCAAGTTGTGTACACTACTTTACCTACGACCGTTTTTTATTTACTAACAATCACTACTCATAACTTCTAAGAAAGGTTATGTTTTCATTTATAATTTCTCATTGCCACTGACAGTGATGCAACGACTCATTGCACCTACCAACCACTAATTACACCGATCATTAACAAAACAATTAAATTGGTAAACAGCTGGTTGGTCCGTTACTCTATTGTTAAGTTAAACAATGCTGAAGTGAATCTTTTAAATTCTAAGAACTGAACGGAAACAGCTGGTTTAAAAAATGGTCGTAGGTAAATCTACATTATGGCATTGCCACTTTAGTATAAATAGTTTATTGCTATTTTTATTGCATGAATACAAGGCTGTGTATTGAATATTTCTGTTAACCAGATGTCATATAATTCTATGTTCTTTTTTATATAAAGAAAACTAGGTAATTGCAGACAATATTAAGGGTCCTTGGAGGCTAGCGGCCATCTTGGATAATTTAAAACCGCAGCTGATGAGTTATTTATCGTCCAAAAATATTTGTTCGAATACCAAAGTGATTATAATTTATATAACTAGTATACAGTGAGATTAGAAATGTTCTTTGTAGTTTTGAAAATTTCCCCAAGGAAGTCCATGGAAGCTAACGGCCATTTTGGATTTGCCCGCCATAAGAGCTATGTTAATTTCAAACAGCCGCTGAAGAGTTATTTACCATTAAAAAATATTTTTTAAACACCAGAGTGATTTCAGTATAAATATCTAGTACAACTGTGTGATTAGAAATTTTCCTTGTAGATTTTAAATTTATTTTATGAGTTAGAACGTCTAGGCTCCAATGACTCTTAAAAAATCAAAGCAGGAATGTTGTGTGTCTACAACAGCAGAACAGCTCTGACTATAAAAACGATTAAAGATGTTGGCATGTTATTGTTGGTATTTAACTACCACTAGCTTACTATATCCCTGTGCTAGGACGGGTAGTTTTGTGTTAAATCTGATGTATTATTGCAGAATCAGTTTATTTGTTGTTTACTGTCAATTTCTCTAGCGTACATAAGGTGAAAAACCAGTGTTATTAAATTGTCCAACAAACATTTACTATTTGCATGAATTGAAATAGTTATGAACTCTGTTCTTGCTGCAAAATGCAAATAAATTAATCTTAAGCAAAGTATTAAATTTACAGTTCAAATACATATCATCCAGTTACATAGAATTTTAATTTGATTTATTTATCGACCGAGAAAAATACTAGTAGACAGACAGATATTGACAGATTATTACATAATTTCAGATTAGTAAAATTTAAAGTTATAAAAATTGACATATCAAATTGTTCCTTCCATCCGCAACCTTCGTTTGCTTGATTCTACGTCCATTATATTTCTTAAAAATTCAAACTCCAGTTAAGTGGTTGCCGTTTTTTACTTCAGTAAGATCCAATTTAACCGTGCAGATCTCAAACCTGTCTGTACCGGCCAAACAACTCAACTTTTGAAATAACTATTTAAGTCCGAGTAGTAGGCAAGTCAACTCACTTAACCGATTACTGTAGAGTTGGCAACTCAACCGGATTACCCAAACAATCACACAACCGAGTCGAGTTAGAAATCAAGGTGGTTTTATAGTTTAACACTGATAAAAAGAACCATAATCTGCTATTTGACACATCGTTCACCTACCTGCCATCTTTAAGAGCAATCATACCTCGCAAAAATCTCTATCGAAAGAGGTTTCTTGAATGCAAATAAAAAATAAATGTTCGCATAGCTGCAGCTGAGTAATTCCATAGCACTAAGATAAACTATGTAATTGTTATTCCATAGGTAGGTCTTCTTAAGCTTTATGTTAAGTTGTTGTTTGGCCTATAGTTTTATTTTGTATATTTTTATAAACTGTTAGATCAAAAACATTTTTGAACTTTAAGTATAAACAATTTTTATATTTATAAACCTAGCATAGTTATTCTAATAAAAAAATCAAACTTACTGTTTTAAAACACATATTGAAAAATCAATTTTATGCCAACCGTTTAGCCCAACTGTTATTTTGGTATTCTTATTATTAGTTCCTAAATGACAACAAAATGAATTATATACCTATATTATATGGTGATGATATCAAAAACATCAATTGAATGTTTTCCTTTAAAAATTGTGTCAAAATAACTCATAATAGTGGTCTAGTTTTAATAGTTCACAAAAATATTTTTCTGGTGCTTTAAAGATTATTTGTTTCTGTTGATGTGCAGTTTACAAACATATACTATCCACAAATAATTTAAACTTTTATATTCTATGTTATTTTTACAAATATTTTATGTAGGTAGTACAGTTTGTTATAAATTGTTCTCAGTTAGTTTTGTACAATCAATGTATATTTTATTGTATGTTATCGTAATCAATACAATGTATTCTTAAGTTGTGAAATAAACTGTTATTGATTGATGAAAACAAATTCATATACCCTACATCTTTCAGGTACTAGTATCTAGGGCGCCAGTAGAAAATTGTACAGGGTGGGGGGTCTTAGGCCCACTCTACACGAGCATAAATTTCAAAGTAGGCCTAAGTTTAAGTTGCAAACATTATGAATATCTATCTATCTATATACAGGGTGTTTTTTTTAAACTTGCATCTTTATTTATGTAAAAACCGCAATAGATAGAAATATGCAGTTGGCGGGAATCATCTATTGACGTAGGGGGCACAATTCAACGTTACATTTACATTCCCCCCCTGCCCCCAACTTAATTTTTTTAAATAGCAAGGTACCCCTTGTGACATATCAAATAAAAGAGCATGAAAAAAGAAAACGTTTGATGAAAAAAAATTGAAAATCGGTTCATAAATTTGTGAGATATTCCCCCCCTCCCCCCCGGAACTTAATTTTTTTTTTAAAGCAAGGTACCCCTTGTGACATATCAAATGAAAGAGCATGAAAAAAGAAAATTTTTGGTGAAAAAAAATTTTAAATCGGCTCATGAATTTGTGAGATAATCCCCCCCTTTTTCCCCTATCCATAACTTGTTTTTTAATAGCAAGGTACCCGCCCTTGTGACATATCAAATGAAAAATAAATTTCACCAAAAATTTTCTTTTTTCATGCTCTTTCATTTGATATGTCACAAGGGGTACTTTGCTATTAAAAAAAAAATCAAGTTCCGGGGAAGGGGTGGGAAATATCTCGCAAATTTATGAACCGATTTTTAATTTTTTTTCATCAAACATTTTCTTTTTTCATGCTCTTTCATTTGATATGTCACAAGGGGTACCTTGCTATTTTAAAAAAATAAGTTGGGGGCAGGGGCGGAAAGTGAATGTAACGTTGAATTCAAAACAATTGGGCCCCCTACGTCAATAGATGATTCCTGCAAACCGCATATTTCTATCTATTGCGGTTTTTACATAAATAAAGATGCAAGTTTGTAAAAAAACACCCTGTATATAATACGCTAAGCCGATTTTTGTGAACAGAACTCCTCCCTCATTTTTGGACCGATTTTGATGATTAAAATGTCAAAAGGATTTCCCTGATCAGTAGTTTTGCAAAGTGTTTTTCGTTTTTTGATATCTTTATTAGTTTGGGCAGGATCTTCCATCAAAGTTGGATTTTCTCCCATAAGATTAACATGGGGGAATCTAAAGATTTAATTGGAAACTTTGTCTCCACTAATTTGAGAGAACGGCTGGGCGTAGAAACTTGGTAGGAGTGTCAAAAGAAAGGTCTTGGTCTGTAGATGGGTTATCAAAAGAAAAACGAAGTAAATTCCCTTAGGGCTCTGCCCCAGAAGCCTTTAAAGATCCCTCTACAGATTTGTTTACATTTTGGCCATGTGGATAATACTTTTTAATGAAACAGCTGTTAATTTGTAAATTGTATTTTAAACAAGACACATTAATTGGGAGTTACTGAATTGTCCAAAAGAAGCATTTGCAATGTTATTTTCTGATTTTAAAATAATTTTTTTCTGTATCATGTTATGTTTTGCAATATATACCATGACGAAATCAGTGGAAAATCCTTTAATCACAGTAACTCTTAAAATTATTTCTTATTGACCTTATATCTATTTTACGGGTTGGTGACTGCCCTTTTCACCATTTTTGTCTTTATTTTTATCATATTGTTCTAGACAGATCATCATAGGTTCATGAGATTATTGTCATACATGTTTTCAATCATTGGAAAACTAAGCAGCTACTGTCATGACAGAAAGGTCATATTCCTTTTAAACTAGATCACATCATCTTTTATAAGATACGTTGATTAACAATGCATGTAAATGTCAATATTTACGTAACAGCAAATTTACACTATTTTTGCTTTTTGGAAATGTCCCATTGCTATGTCATTTGCATTATTTGTTGTCAATGAAGCCGCATATAAATGAGGAGGCCCCTAACAGTTTAAGAATAAAAGCCAACTTCACTTCAAGTATATTCCACTACACCTCACATTCCGTAGAGAGATTATATTGACAACTTTATGTAATTGATATGACTGAGACAACTAACTGACATCCCCCATGTCAAGGAATTCCAGCTTTAACAGTAACCCCACAACAAATTTCTCAAAACTGTGATAGAGGGTTATTCATTAGCACAGAAGTACGATATGAACTGACGCGACGTGACGAAGGAAAAATCAAACTTGCACTGTAATGGATATCTCCCTTTGAAGTTAGAAACTCCCAACAAACAGATATTTTTTTCAAATAAAATCATAGATTAATCTGCATTACACTGATGAAATCACGGAAGTGTTTAACTACCAATACGATTTTAATACTATTTAAAGTTTAATCCAAACGATGAGATACCAGATAATATACTAATAACTCCGATGACGTACAGTATGGGAGATATTTTATTCATTGAATGATCAACCATATTTGGTAACAATCATTATTGTTTTTACACTTATTAATCTTTAAACAATGCTAAATGCTCAAAATATGTACAATTTCACTCAATTTATCGCAGTTAGATGAATTAGCGTAATCCTTGAAAATAACCGGGTTTCACCTAGTTGAGAATATTTGTCTTAAGGGAAACCAATATAATTAAGGACTTGTACAATGTGTAGGAGTAAATTTGTTCCCAAATGGTATACATTTCTGCTCAGGGCATGAAATGGACAACAACCATTTTGGTTTAGTAATAATGATCGCTCAAAAATATTTCAATGTTTGAGTGTGCTACTACTGTAAAATATGAAACGAATGTTTTCACAAAAATGTCAGACCACATCTCGATAAAATTGTGATCTAAGATAGTAAATTGAGTGTTACTTAAATAAAGTTGGAATGTTTTATTGAACCTGAAAAAAAAAACAAAAGATATATGTCTAATAACACTTGTAATAAAATATTTATACTTAAAAAATACTGTTGACTCACAAGACAGTATACATATAAAAGGTGGTAAGTAGTGATCGGTTTCACGGTTTCCATTGGTCACTCCAATCATCATCAGACCCAGTAGGCGAATGACAAGAATCAAACCTTTTATATGTATTTACCGTCTTGTGAGTCAACAGTAAAAGTGTAGGCTAAATATATTATTACAAGTGTTATAAGACTTTTTGTTTTCTTACAGGTAATTTAATATCACGTACGATGCTGATCAAGAAGTTACGCAAGTACTTATAAATAGGCCTTCTAAAGTATTGCTGGCAGGCAATTTTTCTCGCTCACCTCGTAATACTTTAGGTTTAACTAATGCACAAACTATTGCGTGTTACAGTTCCATTTACTATTTTGAACCAATAAATTCTAAAATAAAACCATTGAACATTCCTAGAAACCAATGAAGTGCATTTAGAGCATTACAAGGAGTAGGCCAACACCAAAAAGGTAGGTAAACTTAATATTCCAAGCCTCTACTCTACTCCATTCAATTTTTTAGGTAATAATTTTTTACAATAACTACAAAAACCATTTTTTGAATATCATGCTACAAAGCATGGTGTGGGCATGAGCAAACAAACGATAGAAAGTGAAGTTGTGTCACTCGCCACTTTGTGACGAATAATAAACGACCTGTTTGTTTTCTCGAGAATTTTCAGACTAATTATTGATGTAGCCTACAACTAAAAGTTAATTTAACTTAAACATTTTTCTCGCTCAAGTTGGTTCCTATCCCAAAAATTTAAAAAATCCTCACTTAGTGACTTTTTGTAGTTCACAAGTTTGTAAGTTAATAAGTAAGTACCTATCATTTTTTATCTTAACAAATTTATTGTTCATCATAACCAAAATTTTTTTTGAACATAAGACTCAGCAGTTAACTTAATGCAGATTACAATGATATAGGCCTAGGCTGTTTCATACGAACAATTGAGTTAACTTACGTAAATGTAGGGAAGCATGTTAATGAGCGATATGTATATGGACCGCAGTGTAACCACTTTGCTCGTCGACGTAAGCCAGCCCCTGTATTCTATAGCCCCGGTTCCGTCCATGGTCCCAGTTCCATAGGTGGCAAATTAACGTGGCTCTTCTGTACAATTCCATATACTCCTCTACACGTGTAACTTTTATCCTACTTTATTTATCCTTTTCTTGTATACAAATTCTGTGTACAATGTATATATATATAAATTTTCCTTTTTGAATGTAGCCTAATTTATTGTTTTTTGTGCGGATGATTGACTCAATCCCCAACCACAGGCATATAGCCCATTAGGGGATTCATATTTCATAAATCATTTTTTGTACCATTCAATCTGATGTTCTGTATTGAAATAATAAAGAATTCATTCATCATTCATTCATTCATAACTTATGGACAGGTTTAATTTAATTAAAACATCTGAGTTACAAAGAGTAACAAAAGTACTTTAATACAAAAAACCTTTTGTGACCTAACTTACATTTGGTACAGGAAGAGAATATTAGACTTAATCAAGCCTCGTTTATCTCAATCAGGGTAAGTTAGATGTAGCTTAACATTAGGCCAACCCTAAAACCTACCTAGGCCTAGGCCTAAAGCCGCCTAACTTAAGTTAGACTAGAAAACCATTAGGATCAAAATAACTAGGGCCTAGGCTACGCCCACCACTTTTCTAATTAACTGCTTTTCAGCATCAGGTTTTAGTTGTAGGTCCTCCTTCTTACAGCAACTTATTCCTGCCAAGAAAAGATTGAATAGGCTATATGGCCTAACATAGCTTAATTTAGAGAAAATTGACCATTTTCACTAGGCCTTGGCCTAAGTAGGCCTACCCAGATGCTTAAGTTACTTCGTTTTAAGAAAAATACTGATAGGCGTAAAAATTATAAAGCTAGCCTATTTATAGGAACAAAAACTACCAATCATAAGCCTAGGCTTGTAACTTAGGCCTAAGTCTTTGTTTACTTTACAGAAACGTTTACAAATCTTCCTAGCCTATGCATGAAGGTAAGTAACTTAAGTAATTTTGACATATACGGTAGGCCCTAAGTTAACTTATATGTATTTCAGTCTTGAATACAAAATACCTTAAATAAAAAATCACTTTTTGAATAGGCCAACATTTTAGTTCCGTGTTGGTGAATAGGCCTACACAGGTTTGAGAAAAACTTATCCACTCTTGAACAGAAGGATAGCGACTTGGCCCAAATAGAAATATATGAAATGTCGAGTTTCATGAGTAACGTAACTCCCGAAATTTCTCCCGACAATACAATGCCACGTGGCGTTGTATTTCTTATCAAACTCCTTTTTAATGTGGGCTGCAATGTCCTTTTCGATGTTGTACTTTTCCAAGGCTAGTGTAGCACAGTCCACTGCGTCTTGCTGCATCTCTTCAGTCATGTCCGCATTCTTTATTACTGCTTTGCGTTCCGTCATGATGAGATTTTAGACTATCGTTAAGCACCCTTGAGATTATGTGCGTGCAAACGAATAAATAAAGGCTAGGTTTTAGGTTACTGAAGTGAAGTCAAACTTAAATGCAGTTGCAGTAGTACAACACGTTGCCGTTGCAGGCAGGTGCGGTACGGTACGGGAGTGCAGGGAATGGGCACACGGGAGGGACTAAGGCTAAAGGTGTAGTGACGTCATATCTATAGTGGCTAATGTCTTCTCTTGAGGCGACATGATTACCGTAACAAAACGATGTAATTTCAGCGGTGTTCGTGGCATAGTTGGTAGCATTTCGGAATGGTGTTCAGGAGGTCCCGGGTTCGATCCCCGCTGGCAGCACTAACTTTTTGTCAACAAATTTTTCATATCAGCAAGTTTGGTTGGTTAGGTTAGGTTATGTCAGTTTAATTTTATAATACTAAATTTTAAAATTAATTTTATAATTAATTAAAAATTATAAGTAATTATTAATTAGATTTTTATCTTATATAGTTTTTATATTATCAGCAAGTCTGGTTGGTTAGGTTATGTTATGACAGTTTAATTTTAAAAATTAAAAATTTATTTTTTATAATTTTAAAACAATATTTTATAATTAAAAAGTTAATTTTATAACTAAAAATTAAAAAAAAAATCATTTAAAGTTTTTCAACTTAGTTCTAGCGGCGAACGCTGACACTACAAGATATGTTAGCCTTAGTCCCTCCCGTGTGCCCCACCGGGGAGTGCAGTGGCGGTGGCGGTACGTACAGGGTGCAGGCAGGGGCAGGCAGACGACAACGAACGACAGTCGACAACGACAAGACAACAGGGAACAGAAGCAGAATGGCAATGAGAATGAATCAATGAATTGGCGAATGGCGATTGGCGATGGCGCCGATGCCGCGCAGAGTTCGGAATTCTGCACCGACCGAACCAGAGAGTCAATACTTGATACTTGATACTTGATGTCTTCGTCTTTGACCCAGCTTGTGGGATTGACTGCGTCATATGCCTTTCGGCTATTTCTTTCCCGTGAATAGTGGGATTCCTTCTACATCATTCAGGGTGTATACTGGCCATTCTAGTAATTCATGTTTGATGTGGTTCTTGAATTTTGAGGTTGTGAGGCTTTTCACGTCAGCTGGGAGGCTGTTGAATAGTTTTATGGCTGCAATTGGAAAGGATTTTTGAGTTTTGCTCAGCCTGCATCTTTGGACTTCCAGATTTTGAGCTTTACGAGTTCGATGGTGATGTATGGTTGTTCTGTCATTAAAAAGATTGATATTCTGCTTGATGTAGTTTAGAGAGTTGAAAATATACTGGTTATATACTGTGAAGATTCTAAATTTTTTAAAAAGAGGTTTACAGTGTTCAAGGTCATGAGTTGATGCCATAACTCTTAACGCCTTCTTCTGCAGAGCAAGAGCATCACTGCAGGCCGCCGAGTGTCCCCACAACAGAAGACCATAGTTCAAATGACTGTGGAACAGGGCATGATAGATTCCTAGAAGGTGATCCACAGTTAACGCCTTTGTCAATTTCCTTAGAAGACAAATTACTCTTGATAATTTTGAACAAACCTTGGCCACATGAAAGTTCCAATCAAGCCTGTTATCCAGCCAGAAGCCTAGAATTTTGACTGGTTCATTGTTCCCTGCTGGGATTTCTTTTTTTAGAGACAATAATATTCTTTGAGTCTTATCTTCATTAAGTTTTAACTTATTGCTCTGGAACCAGTTTTTTGCAGAGGTGAAGGTTTCATTGGCCTCTGACAGAACGTCATCAGCACTGAATCCTCTGTTTACCAAGGTTGAGTCATCTGCAAAAAGAAGGGTCCTTCCATCCAGGTCCAGGTCGTTTATGTGTATAATGAAGAGCAGAGGGCCAAGAATACTTCCCTGCGGGACACCATGCTCCACAGACCTACATTTGGAGACAGCTCCCTCCAAGGACACTATCTGCTTACGGTTGTCTAAGTAGTCAGTAAGCATGTGGAGTGCAACGTTACAAACTCCATAAGCTGACAGCTTCCTGAGCAAAATCTTGTGGTTGACACAGTCGAATGCCTTACTGAGGTCACACATAGTTAAGGCAAGAATACCTCCCTCCTCAAAGGTGTTGTTTGCATGCTCCATGAGGGATATCAGAGCAGTGACTGTAGACCTGCCCCTCCGGAATCCATGTTGAGAAGTAGAAAGGAGGTTATTTTCCTCAAAGTAATCAAGCAACTGAGATTTGATGATGGACTCTAGTATCTTGGAGAGTACTGGCAGAATAGAAATAGGCCGGTAGTTTGAAATTACACTAAAATCACCTTTTTTATGAATTGGGACTGTCCTAGCAATCTTCAGACACTCAGGGAAGACCCCCTTGACCAAGCATAGGTTTATCAGTTCTGTGAGTGGATCTATTATATGATGTATAATTGATTTTAAAATATGGCACGAAATACCGTAGTAGTCGGGACTGGAAGAGTTCTTGAAATTTTTAACTAAATTGAGTATTTGATTGGGACTCACCATGTTGAATTGACTCAGCGTACATTCTGTGGTTCTTACGTTGGTTCCATCAATGTTCCAAACCTCTCCGCTGGGGTCTTCGGCCAATGACTGCACAATTTCCTCCACAGACCTGATGAAAAAGTTGTTGAAATCGTCAGGGCTATTAACAGAGCTTGGTACATCCAGTTTAGGTGTGTTGATCTTAACAACGTCCCACGCAGCTTTGCATTTGTTCGGGCACGCATCAATGTAACTCATATTTGCTTTTTTCTTAGCTTCCTGCACCTTGATTCTGTAAGATTTTTTTTCTTCCAAATAGAGTGAGAACAGCCTATCCTTATTTCCACCACTATTTTCATACTTGTATCTGTCATGTACAGCTTTTACATAGTTACTATGTTTTTTGAGATCTGTTGTATACCAGGATTTATCTATTAGGCCTATTTTATTTTTGTCTGGTTTACTGCTACTAGGAGATTTCTTGTGATAATTCTTACATGGAAAGACTGTGTTAAAATTTAAAATAAGTACTTTAAGGAACTGATCAAAAGCATAGCCTGGTTCCTGACTTAGCATGTTATTTTGCCATTGCGTGTTGGCCAATTCTCTCTGAAGCAAGGGAATATTTTCACTCTTTACAATTCTTTTTGTAAAAATATAATTTTTATGCCAAGAAAGATTAGACTGAGTGCTTACCAGGGCAGCATCGAAGTTCAACTCCATTACAACAGCAAGGTGGTCAGCAACCAGCGCATCCACTATCGACACCTTGTAGTCCCAAGAATCCAGATTGGTGGCCACAGTGTCAAGGCAGGCCTCCCCCCTGGTAGGTAGCCTATTTCCAATGAACAGGCCAAAAGATCGTAGGTGGTTGGTGAAGGTGGTTTCTTCTTTGGACAGGGTCTCCAGGTGTATGTTCAGGTCGCCTAGTAATATAGTTTTAGACTTTTTTCTAGCTAAAAAATTTAAACATTTCTCCAAGAGATCAATAAATTCATTGAAATCCCCATCGGGTGACCGGTAGGCTGAGATGATTATGATACTCGAGTTTTCCAGATGTAGTTCAACTCCTGAAAGTTCCAGTGTTTTTTCAACACAATAGGCACTCAAGTCAACAGTTTTAAAACTTAAGGCAGGCGAGACAAAAATGGCTGTGCCTCCATTTTTAAATGAAGATCTAGTGAAGGCAGTTGTCAGGTTTAGGTCCGATATTCTAGTATAAAATTCTAGCTCATCCTTGACTAGCCAGTGCTCAGAAAGGCAGAGCACGTCAGGTTTCTCATCATCAATAAAAAAGGATAACAATTCCATTTTGTTCCTCAGACACTGAACATTTAAAGAAGATATAATAATTTTGCTATTTACATTTATATTTACATTAGGCCAGGTATCGAAAGTGCTATCTAGGCCAACTTTTTTACTAACTAGCCCCAGGCCTAGTGCCTGGCTGGGCGTGCCCAGTTTTTTGGCATCGTTCTTTTAGGAGTGTATTTACAAAGGATTGTACCCATAGGCCACAAGTCTCCACTCAATATTTTATCTCTCATATTACTAGGTATACCAACCTTAAACGAGCTGTAGGTTTTATATCTTGTCTCCAGTCTTTCACATATAACCTCACCACTGTTGCATAGGTTTGCTACAAAGGACTTAACATCCTCGCATCTCACTTCTGGGCCAAGTCTACTTACAAATAACCACTCCGGTCTACTCACTACTGGCAAATCACAATCTTCTGCACTTTTTTTCCCGTAAATCGGTCTGTTTGATCTCTTAAGAAGAGATTTGTCACCATTAGATCTTTTATGAGTAGGCCTGGTGATTTCTTCGTTTGTGATTGGGAAGGACGTGCCGTGAGCAACTGACGCAGTAATTTTTTCGCTATTCCCTTTATGCATGGGCTCAACGTAATTGTCTCCTCTCCCACTGTTATTTATATGTCTTCTTTGGTGTTTTGATACTAGGCTCCAATTAGTTTCCATTTCTTGAGATAAAATACTCTTATTCGAATTTTCTTCTTCTTTGTTAGTTATGGAACTATTTTCTTCCAAAGTGTCCGAGGCCGAGCCTGCACCATTGACGCAGACTTGAGACTCATCTTCAGACATGTCATTTGTAGTCCTGTAACGGTGAGACTTCCCTTTTTTCCCTAGAGCTGGCCAATTGCTCCGATTGTCATTAGGCTCTCTCTCTTTAATTTTCTCATTTATTTCACATATTGACAATTTATTAGCTACATTCTCTTCTTGTAAGGATGATAACTGTCTGGACATATCCAACTGGTTTTTACTGACTTTTTCTAACTCAGTTAGAATGGTTTGAAGCGCTGGGTTGCAGTCAAGACCCACTTCGTCAGAATTGTTCTCAACGAACTTGTCAATCTCCTTATCACAGTCCTTGCAAAACCATTTAACATGGTCTGCCACATCGACTATTTTTTGAAAAGTCTCGTCACTTAAATCTAAACAACTACTATGATACCAATTCTTACATTTGCCATCACAGCCAAGATAATTTCCTTTGTTATCCACAATTTTTAAGTTACATTTAGGGCATTTAATTTCTCTACCTTTCCCTTTGGGTTTCGTCATTTTTGGAATCGTCAAATCAACGCAATATGTGCCCAGTAATTTATGCAAAACAACACTGAAATTCTTCTTGAGATTTGAAATAATACATTTATAACTCAGACAGGCACTTGTATTTAACACATAGAACAACTAAAATTTGTTGGCAGGCAAAATTTTCTTATTCACAAAATGCCTTATGAGGCCTAGTTTGAAGGTAGCCTGTTTCCTATTTATTGATATAGGCTAGTAATCAATTACATATTCACACAAAGTTTTTGAAATAAATTTTCAACAAAAGTTTTTCAGTCGATATATAAATAAAAATAAACTCACAAATTAAAATAGTTTTCCTTCTGAATCTGTATTTTCACAAAATAAAAATTTTGTCATGGTTTACAAAACCTGAAAATAGGTTAACTTGGTCCAGTACTTGTATAAGCTGATTTGAAGATTACTATACTACAAATCTTTAAAACTTACTTTATCAAAATATTTTCCTCTCTTATTTCTTTCATACTTATGATTTTTACAAAATTTAGAGTAGTTAAAACTATTAAAATTCACTTAAACTGTTGAGCTTAGAAAACACTGTTACTTATTCATGTTTATGCTTGTGCAACTCGCCGCTCCAATGATCCAATCCACCTCACAGAATTTTATCGTTAGTTCTGTCCGGTGCACTGTAGATGTCATGTTTGTTGACAATTTATTTCGTGTTAATTAAATAAAACCCCGTTTAACCAAATAAAATAATATAATAATGAACAATAACTAACTCATCCCCTCTAGTTTTATAACGAAACAGTAGAGCAGAAATCATGAAATTAACTCTAAAAAATATAAACAAAATTTCGTCGACACTATGCCACACTAGTGTCACCGGACATGAACTAGGCACGAAAAACGAGCTTAACAATTTACAATGGGATGGGAAGTCTACTTGTGTTGGTTAGTCTAATTATGATAGAACTGAATGAAGTCCATTTTTATAATGGGGTCAATTTATTTGAGCTGATCAAAAAAATACCTTATTGAAATTATATATGTTTATTGTCATTTGAATTTTTTAAATTTATTGAAAATGTCATTAAATAGCTAAAATTATAGCATAGTCAGGGATTGAATACAATATAGCTAACCACACAAACGTAGACATGTTACAATGCTTATTTTAAATATTAAAACTGGTCATTATGTTACTATAAATTTGTGGTATTTAGGGTAATAGATGTTATTAAACCTCATACCTCATGACCAACAAAATCCAACAGTAATTAGGGTTATTTGCTACCTGTACTAAAAATATTATAAAAAAATCATTTAGAGAATAAAATAAAGGGTTTTTCAAAAGCCACTTGTAGAAGTTAAAGTCTTAAAAGTATTTTCAGGATATGTTTGTATTACAGTATTACATGTATTAGCTTGTTGTATATTTTTATACTGACCCGCAGTGCCCGCATGCTCATGGTCCGAAATCATACTATACACACCGTTTCAGATCTCGAGGCCAGTGTAAGTAAGTGAGCCAATTGTTGGCCAGAAGAGGTTAGGTCGTAATGTAACGTTGTCCAAGACACAAAAGTGTCCTAGTTAGTAGTGTTGTTCCCGCCGTTTCTGCGTCCCACCAAGGCGCTACTATAGAAAAAAAAACAGGCCATACTGCAGGATCCATGACGTCACACTAGTGGATAGATTTGTCGATCGATTCGCTGCAATAAGCTGGATATGTTTGTCGGATTATAGCGGTAAGATTTTATTACAACTATCCAGCACTGTGACATAGTGCCTTGGTCCCACTCCCACCTTCCACGTTGTAGTCGGTTTTCGCGGACTTTTAAGTTGGCACTACTGTTTGCTCAAGACTCAAGAATGCAAAGGAAAAGGGATGCAAAGGGTGATCTTACACAGAAGGTGTAAAGGCTCCGTCCTAGCTGAGCGGCAAAAATTCGGTCGGTGTTGCTAGCGTGCGAATCTACCGGTGGCAAAAATTTCAAACGCACGTTAACATATGAGAGTGTCCTAGCTGACCGAGCGATGCGATGGTCGGTGGTGCGTCAACGCAGCTACCTGCGGCGAACCTCGACATGACAGATTTAACAAGAAATCTCTTTTCAATTCACTTGACTACATGATCAAAGGTTTCAATTGACATCCTTGTGTTATTTTTTATAAATCAGGATAAGCCCTTAGTTTATAGTAGAGATGATGGAATTCACCAAACTGATGCCTTTCCTAAAATTACATTAGTAGGTGCTCTAGTTGCCACAGAATTCTCAGTTTTCCTCTTCAGGTAAGTATGTTAGTGTCGAACTATCAAGCAAAATAAACTTACGCCTTTCCCCTGGGATAGCATGACCACACACTTCCATTCACTGTTGAATTGTAACTAAAGACAGGGCTCCAGTCCCTGCCGCACCGCACCCCCCCCCCCCCGCGACGACAGACGTAAGTTCCACACACTTTTGGTCGGCGTTGCGAGCGATGCTGCACGCACCGTCGAACGAATTTTTGCCGCTTAGCTATGTAGCTAGGACGCCGCTACGCAAACGCTACAAGTACTCAAAAACTAGGCAGCTGCGTTGACGCAACACCGTCCATCGCATCGCTCGGTCAGCTAGGAACGTGCGTTTGAAATTTTTGCTGCCGGTCGATTCGCACGCACGCAACGCCGACCGAATTTTTGCCACTCAGCTAGGACGGGGCCTTCACCTTACACCACGAACACCATTCCGTTGGCTGTAGTTTGGCACTAGCGGCTAGTGCCTGCCCACCAAATCTGTTCGGGAGCGAAACTTCTACCCTCCCTCCAGCTGAATTTTTATTCCATTATTAGTTTTGCCACTGAGCTATAAGAGTTTTGCCAACAGTGTCATTTAGAGGCTTCTGATTGACTATATAATTAAGGTTTACTAATTAAAAAATCAGTTTTGTTCATAAAATAAAATTATAAATGCCTCAAATTCAATTTTATAATTGTTTAAAATTACACTTTCATAACCTAACCAAACCAACCAAACGTGCTGATAATGAAAAAACCCAATGAAGGTTTATTAATCGAACGAATAGTCCTGTTCATAAAATAAAATTATAAATGCCTCAAACTCAATTTTTAATTTTTTTTAAATTATAAAATTAAACTGTCATAACCTAACCAAACTAACCAGACTTGCTGATAATGAAAAATCGAATTAAGGTATAGTTCTGTTCATAAAATAAAACTATAATTGGCTCAAATTAAATTTTGTAATGTTTTAATTGTAAAGTAAACTGTCATAACCTAACCAAACCAACCAAACTTGCAGATAATGAAAAAAATCCGAGACAAAAATATAGTGCCTCAGGAGAGATTCGAACCCTGCTCCCTATGGCCCGGCCCTCTATCCACTTTACCACCGAGGCCAACGGCACCATGCTGTATCGTTGCAGTAATGGTGTTCCCTCAGCCAATCAACAGCTGGAGGGTAGAAGATTCACCCCCGAACAGATTTGGTGGGCAGGGACTAGCCGCTAGTGTAGTTGGCTGCCCTTGGTATTCCCTCAGCCAATAGAATAGTCCCATTTTGTCCTTATTAAAAATCCGCAGCTGAAATGAAATAAAAATTATGCAGACAGGACAGGAGAAAAACAAATCTTATTTTTGTGTTCTTTTCTCCACATCTATAATCCACGGCCGCCTTTAACTACAGGCCGCGGCCTGGTAGAATGGGCAACATCGCAAGTGGTGTTGTTCAGTGACAGACGTCCCATAAGATGTGGCAGACACGTGACATCAGCTCATTAATTCGCACTTTATTGATTTAATTTTTAATTTATGAACATAAATTTATTAAAATGCTGAAAATAAAACATACAGCATTGAAAATTGAAACAATATGAATTAAAATCTATATCTGTACATTTTTAAGCGGAGTCAATATTGTCATAGTCCAGTAATCAATCTTTCGTAAATACACAAATACCATTAGTTGCTTCCAAAAAAATCAGCTGTTACAACACCACTTGCGACGTTGCCAGTTCGAAGGCCGCGGCCATGTATAATCTCAATTTCATTCCATTCTCATACTTTGTAATCACCATCGATGTTTAATAACTCTACTGGATAGCGCGCTAGGTGGTGGAAAAACGGTCCGTGCCCACCAGTCGAATTGGTGGGATACCGATGAGGAGGACGGGCCGATGAGCCTCTCTGTTTTACACAAACATACATTCACTCAACCTGCTCTGCTACACTTATTTGTTAACATAAAAATTTCAAATTGATATATTATTTTTCTGGAAAAACCAGTGTTCATTACTATGTAGTTAGTTTTGACATTAATATATTTTTTATAATTTATTTAGGCAAATTAAAACAGATGATTGTTTTTTAACACCATTAAAAACATGAAATATGTAGTAAGCGAGGAACTGTTGTATTTTTTGGTCAGGAAAAAAATTCCTGCGGCAAAGTTTGAGATGAAAGTATGAATTTTATTTTTTATTTGAACCTTTTTTTGATACGGAGCCTGCTTGTATCATTTTTAAGTGATTAAAAATAGGCATAAAGCTCACTTGGCGCGGCATTGGCGCTAGGAGCTCGGCCGGCTCAGCATCAGTTTACGGGATATAGAAACTGAGTTTCTAGCATTTCATTATCATTATATTATTACATCAAATATGTCATTACATTACGAAGAATGGTAACTTAATTTACAGGCGTATGTTTATACATTTTAATGCTTACTGGTAGTCTATAGTTAACAAAATTCTTTGAATCAAAGAATAAATGTTGGATTTCACAGTAGTATTTAATACCTAAGAAAATATTTTGTTATTATTTTACTTCAGTGAGAATAATGAATACATTTGAGATATTGGCATTAAATATTATACACTCATTTTATTTGGCAACATAATATTATTTCAAAACACGTTAATCACAGTATGACAAAGAAACATATTATAATATAAACAAATTATATATTCTTAAATGATGCACAGTCTCTCAATAATAATTGGGCCTCACCGAAGCAAATGATGACATGCATATGTGATCAAATAATTATTCTGATATACTTTGCTCTGGTTAATGTTCAAATATAAATAAAGCTAACTCTTTTATATCACCACTACATTTCTTATGATATTTACTTTTGACATATAGTCTATAAAGTGTGAGCAAGTACGTAGATTAATTATATCTGCTTATAAAACCTCCTTAAGTTCATTACAATCAATTATCCTCGGAATATTTCCACAAAACTAACATAGCAATACACGGCGAGAGCGGGCGCGACGCTCGCCACTAGGGTGACTCATGCCTTTATCCCCACTCCTCGCGGACAGAGCGAGGTAGCGACGGACCGTTTTTCGAGCCCTACTTCAACCTGAGCGCGCAATCCAGGGAGTTATTATACATCGATGGTAATCTCATCCATCATTCTCATCTCATTATCTCTTCGCTTCCTCTCCTCATCTACTGACTCCTCCGTTCCTCCCATCTACCCAACCCAACCCGGCCAACCCACCAACCCACCCTAGTCCGAGTCCCTACTTTACCCAACAAGAACAGAACAAGCCAACAAACATACATAACATAACAACAGTAACAGTAGAGAGAGTTTAGTTAATTAGTTAATAATTATTTTCTTTACTGACTGAACTCAAACTGCCAGTGCCCAGTGCTTTAGTAAAGTTTAGATTTTACTTCTGTCATTTAATTCAAGTGGTGAGTGAGTGAATAATTAGGACCAATACTAGGCCTATTATTGATGTATCGGTTGATACTCGGTTCCAGTTGTTGGTTATGAGTATACCTACTGGATAGTTTTCTTATTTTATTCTGAACAATATCTATCAACCGATTTGGTGGGTGTTAACTTAACTTAGCATGAAACAAACCTAGGCCTTAGCTCTAATAAAAGTTAATACAGAAAACAATGAAAATGCTAAGATTTTTAGGCATATACAGTTTCATAAAACTCAAGTCAATGTCTAATTTAAACTACTGTGGCCTAAATTTTTCAAGAGCATACAGTTTTTATTTGATTGGCTTAAACCTAAAATCAACTGTAGGATTAATTGTTCAACCCAGATGTATACACTTGGATATTAGCAGGAGGATAACATCTGCCGAGGTTAGGATAACAAATAACTTAGGCCTAGGTTTTAGTTTCGATAGATAGTGTATAGACTTATACCTGTAGTGCCACATTTGTTTGCACCATGTTTATGCTTAAGGCTACCTTAAGTTATTCTAATCACCCTTTTATTTTGGTGGTTAATTTAAGTTTACGCTTCCTTATAAAATTTGGCAAGGCCATCTCATGTTGTAATCCTCAGGAAGATGTAGTTTTATATGACTTAGGGCCTACCTAAGTTAACAGGTAGGCCTATCTTAATTCAGTGGCGGCTGGTGGAGTAACTCAGTGGGAGAACGCATACATTTTTTGAGTGTTTCGCTACTGATACCGAGGGAAGGTATTAGTATATTACGTTGTTACTAGTCCTGAAAATAAGTGTTTACTGGACGAGTGTGGTCGTTCCTGTGCGAGACGAAGTCGAGTTACCATACAAGTCCGGTACACACATTTTGGATGAGTTACGTACGATAGTTTACGCCATACTAACTTACTAAATCCGTAAAAATCCTTATATATTTCCACCAACTTAAAGGACTAAAAATCACTAGTCATAACCTCTAAGAGAGGTTATGTTTTTGTTTATACCACTCACTGCCACCTAAATACAGTATAATCAGCTGATTGGTGTTCGGTAAAACTCATTGCATTACAGTAGTACGCAATGAAACCCGATTTGAATAAGCCGGTGGCAAACAGCTGTTTTCTGGACTAAATCCTTGCGTGGGAAGTTCGTCAAAATAATGTAGTGTGGCGTAAACAAATAAAAAACGAGTGATTTAAATGTTACTATAGGAGGGTTTTTTTTTTTTTTTTTTTTTTTTTGATAGGCCGGTTCTTTGGTATTATCCAGAGTCAGCTTTTTTAGAGAGAGTTTTTTAACTAGAGACCAAAATAGGCTACATAGGCTAATTGGAAAGAACACACTTCAATTCAAGACTTAGGCCTATTATGATTACGATTTGTGGTCTTTAAGGTTTGCCTCCCAGAGCGATGTCGGCGAGGATTGAGTTGAATGCGTCGCCGCCGCTATATTCCGCCAAGTAGGTATACAGCGCACTGCGGCGGTTATGTTAGGTTGGGTTGTCATATTTATGATAACCCAACCTAACATAACCGGCGCAGCGCGCTGTATAAGGGTGGCCTCCCGATAATACCAAAGTAGCCTACCGATAGGCCTATAAACTGTTTAATTCATACTACGTATAGTAGGTAATTGTTTTCATTGTCTCTTTGTTTATAATTAATTCTCCTCATAACATAACCCACATACATTGCTATTTTGACAGAGAAATGCATATTTCATTATGTTAGCATCACTGAGTATTATTTCTAGAGGATCAATACTTAGTAGCCTATTAATTAATTAACTCCTTGAATACCGACGGCGCTATGAACATAACCTCTAGCAATCACTAAATAGCCTACTGTATTCAATTGTCAGATTTAATGTTGTTGACACTCAACAGGTCGTAGCGCTCAATGCTCGTTGCGGCAATAGATAAAAACTAGGTAGGTAGGCCTACTGTTTGGATGGAGTCCCAAATCCCATAAAGGAAAAATTATTTAAAACGAAGAAGGAAAGCTGTATTATTTTTATTTTGACTTAGCTAATGCAATGTATTGTCAACTTAGCTGAATAAAATGATTTGATTTGATTTGATTTGATCCCGGATAAGTTATCTTTAGCATAATCAAAGCCTGACACAGCGCTGTGATTGGTAGAATGTTTCCATGCAGTTCTAAGTTATACGGGAGATTGGACTCTTATCTACTGGGTCCTTGAGTACTACCTGTTGCAAAAGCATGTTGAGTCCATCATCACTTGCCCTAAAAACATTGACCCTGCTAACGTTTGTTGGCTACATTAAAATGCAGGAATACAAATCATATCTCTATCTAACAGATCTCTCTATCAATTAAATTTTGGAGTCTTCGAATGAATCAAAATCAAATCAAACATCGTTTATTCCATGATATATTAAAAATTGTCTTCAAAAATTACAATACAGTAGGTCTAAATCTAAAAAAAATTATGGATAAGATTGTATGCAACTATATCAATTTTTTTGCTATGTTGTCGACATGGTTTTTCCAGGATAAATTTTCAGATATGAATGGTTATTCCTAAATATTTAGTTGACTTATCTTTGATTAGATTAGTAACCCCATTTTTTAAAGTGGTGAATAGGCCTATTCTTTCCAACATTTATGTGATTTCTCTTTGTTTTGTCCTGTTAATTGATTAATTTACTTTTGAGCTACTGTAAGTTATTTTAATATTAGGCTTGTTTAGAAAATGATTCCAAGGTACCTTTAGAATTTGTCCGTACCGCACTTAGTCTGTAGTGAGATTATCAAAATCGATGATGGTTACCAATAGCTGAAACCGTTTCTTCACCCTAGAACCAAAAATTTAAAGAAAAATCAATATGGGAGTGGATTTACACTTGGTAATGTCTTGGGCCGTAGTTTCCTACACTTTTGACTCTAAAAATTCCCATTCTTCCCATTCCTGAAATCCCTTGGGGCTCTGCTAATGAGGCTTCGAAAATTCCCATGTTTACCTTATGGGTATTCATATTTAACTTGTTTGCTGCTGCTACGTACGTTCCGGAACGTCAGCGGTGCCATGGCGCCAGGAGATAGGAATGTTTCGGAACGTCACCGTTCATTGTTGTTTAATGTATCCATGGATCAGCCAGCTCGTCTCGAGCGTCCTATATTTCTTTGCAGCTTGTGGGGACGTACTTTTATGACAAAAAAACATATAGTTTCCCAAAGTCACCACCAGGGTTGTTTTGAACAGTGCTTTGTGCCACCTCTTTCCTGCTAGATAGCGACACTACTTTACCGACTGTAACCTGGGTAGCCTAGTTCTGCTATCTATCAGAATCGCTTAGTACTATGTCCAAAGAAAGTTTTATTGCAGAACATTGCTATCCAGTATAACTACTGTTGTTTTTACTGTAATTCAGTGTTTCACCGGCAATGTTACGCAGCTGCAAGCGCTAGTTCAGCTCCTGGCGCCGTCCCGGCATCTTGCGGTCAACAGCAAACGTGTTAAGTAATAGAAATTTAAATTTACAATTTTTGTAATTTTCTCCATAACTGATAAGTAACTGGTCAAAAGCACTTAAAGATACTAAATTATTTGGTTTTTAAGCTCTAGTTTGGCGAGAATTTGGGAAGTTCTTTGTTTGGTAGGTCAAAAATGAGAAAAAACAATTTGTGGCTCATAAAACCTTGTTACGGTGGTTTGAACAATATAGACCTATAAAAAAAAGTATTCCGGCCTCGTCTCTATGTCTTACCATGAGACTTAAACGGCAATAGCTTAGTTATTCCCTACTACGGGAAATTCACTAAACACAAGTACAGTAAAAAAAGTAAGGATACCCTAGCTTGAGTTTTTGTTCTCTTGGATCTTCCCTTAAAACCTATAATAGTAGGCAAGAAAGTTATGTTCTTCATCATACTCTCATAACTTGAGTTTTACAACGGGTCCAGTTCTTAAGTTTAAACTATACCTAGGTCTACACAAACTCTCTTTTTTTATACCAGTAGGCCTACTGCAGTTTATTCACATTCAAGTTAGCTGATTTAGAAGTTTGCTTGATAATAAAAAAATTCTTACAGACTTAAGTTTAAAATGAGCTAAGATAAATTATACAACACTGAAAAAATTAGGTATAAAATGACTGATTTGGTTAATAAAATACTCAAATAACACAGTCTACTAGAAATTCTATTTATACATCATAATATTATTTCTATCCTAGATATTTAAAAAAATATTCATTATGGTAGTAGGTTTTAAAATATCAATTACTGTGTCTTATCATAACAGCCTCTCTTTATCTTCGTTTTGTTTAACATAGTAATATTTAGATAAAAAAACACGGTGTTGAATATTTAAAAGCGAATTTTTACTGTAAAAGTTGTTTATTGCATGTTTAGTTTTATAGTTTTGTGTTTGAGTTGACATTTGTAACATGAAATATGAGCAATTCATCATTCCACAATTCATTCCTTCTCAGCTTTGTGTTTGTCAGGCTTTTACAACATTGTGTGGTTTAGGATTATTATGTAATTTTGTTGAAATGTTCTAGTCCATCCTAACTCATCTCGTTTGAGTTAACTCGGTGTGTCCGCATCATTTTAGTTACTGGTCTTTTTAAACTCTGTAAGTTTCTTAATTAGATGTCAGCACATTAATGGTGTTCTTAAGTTAATTCAAGTAAAGTAGTAGGCCTTTAGGTTTCTGGTAGCCTACCTGTTGATATTTAAGTCACTTCATGACTTCAAAACCTGTGATATTTGATATATCGTTGATAATGGTGAAAACGATTATTTCTTATCATATCACTATTATTTGCATTGCTGCCCTATTATTTTCATTGCTGCCCTATTATTTTCATTGCTTGTACTATCTCTTCATGGCATCTTAGTAAAATTACAAATGCTTATTAAATATACTATGAAAACACAAAATATATTCTTTACATTTCAAACAAATACCATTCCGGAACTTTCGGTGTACGCAGATGACCTCAATAAGAGATGACAAAATGTTCCTCACTTCAATCCAAGCTACTGTCAAAAGCGGTTGATCGTAATATGGTAACATTAACATTACAAAATTTTACTTAAATTCCCTAAAACATACTATGAAAACACAAAATCCTATCACAACACAAACATTCAACGGAAGTCATTTTATTCTTTACATTTAATATAAGTTAAAAAGCATTCCCTCCAATATTTTACTAAAATTCACTGAAACATCACCAACTGCAGATAACCCAATTTCCGTATGGATGTAAACAAAATTGTATTATGGCCATCGGTTTTGATGATTTGATCTGATTTGATGTAAACAAATGTAAACTTGAAAAAGTTCAGATGATTGACAACAGACTTTAGCACAGACTCTGAAGTTGTAAAAGCCTGTAGGACGAAGGGCTTTCATGAGATATGATCCAAACCTGTAAAAGGCACATAGGATAAGAGCTTTTTTGATACTCAATATGCCTATAAAAATAAATATTTAGTGGTCGATTTGCTGCACACAAAAATCCAACAAATTATATTAATAATATAGATTCTATGCAAAAGTTTGCTAAGACTTATTTGTTATCAATTAATTATTTATGATTTATCTGTGAGTTTTTTCTAACTATTTGTTAAGAAATTCTAATACTTTAATCATGTGTTACGAAATGGAAAGAATTGTTGACAGCAATATTCGTCATGTTCAATCCTTTGGTGATAATACAAAATAGTTCATCTGTAGTTTTTATTTCAATCGATGTGTCTAAATAATATGCACTTTATGTCTACAAGTAGCGTAAATATCAAATTTACAGGGATTAGTAATTGACAACAACACAGTCCGTTGGTGGCTCTATTCAACCATATCATTTTCATTCTGATACTGGCTACATCGCTGCATCTGCCATGGGAATGATGATGATAAATGATAGACAATCAGATGTTTCCTAAGATCCAATTTCAGCCTTTACCGTTATTCACACAATTGCACTTTCTCTTTGCCTCTAGCCTCTAACCCTGCTTGTGCTCCAGGTGTCTACTCTGAGTGGAAAGAGCTTAGCGGAGATGAAGTTTGAATATCCAGCAGCTAGACGTGACGAGAGTGTTGTTGATAACTACCACGGAGTCCAGGTAACAAACTTCTTCTCAAATAAGAATGTCTATTCAGGAGTTTCATTAGTTATAACAAAAGAGTAGAGTTTGTATACAAACGGTTAAAGTTCATAGAGGTTTTGATTTATTTGGCCTAAGAGTTTGTTTGATCATATTACGTAGGTGAGTGGCCTGGGTTAAGGCAGTGGCGTAACTAGAACAGGGATTTGGGGGGGATGGAGGAGCCCTAACACCGGGGGGCCTGGGGGGTACCCAGCAAATAAGAACTCCAAACTCGCGTTTTCAGGCATTTTAGAGGTGTAGGCCTAATCACGTTCACAAGAACTCAAAAAATCAACCCAATTGAGGCTGTCTCTGGCCAGTCAGAATCAGGAAATAGCAAGTAACTAAATCATAATCACAACACAACAAACAAACAAATTATCATTAAGTTGTTGTACTGTAGCCTTCTAAACTGCACGTGAAGAGCCGTATCTACTGAGTTTTTATTATGAATTGATTTTAACAGGCTGAAAACTTTAAACTTACAGCGCTTGAGCGGCAATGTTGCCAACATAATATGATGATTTTCTACGTAATCACCACTGGAAATCCCCGATTTTATTCACAAAGATTTTTGCCTTGGGGGGGGGAGGGGATTCGATCTCCCTCATCCCCCCCTGTAGTTACACCACTGGCCTAAGGTAGGTACCTAGTACTGTAGTTACTGTGTTACAGCATAGTGTCGGCCTTCAAGTCTGATGGTTGAATGATCAATACCAAGCAGACTTTATTCAGGACTCAGATATGCCACTTGTCGTTGCTATCTAACTAAAGGCTAAACAAACTCTCTCTAAACTCCAACCTCAAAACTTCTTGTCTTGTAACACAATTTGCGCTAATGCAATAAGTTAGAAAAAAAGAAAGAACAGAAATTGTTGTCTGCTAGAGAAGCAGACTTCCATAGCAAGTGCGAATTACGTTTTATTCTATCTAGCAGACAACATTTGTATAAATCATATTTCAAGTTTATAAAGGTGACGGTGCGCGTTTTGGTACCATGTATAAGAGAACTCAGTATAATTTGTTCCGGTGTCTTATTCGCCATCACTTTTTCAGTTTTACTTCACTCGAAAAAGACACATCAATGTCGTATTTTAGATTTATGTAGGTCTACCGTGATCCCAGAACAAAACGTAACTTGAACCCGATCGCCATCGCCAAGAACAATGAAGGCGGATGAATGCTAACGTAGTGTTTTGCAGCACATACCGTAATGAGTTTAATAATGTTGAAAAATAATAAAATAAAATATCTAAGTAAGTTTTAATTAAATATTGTATTGCATTTTTATGTAATCTGAAGCAGCTTAACAGTTTTTATTTATTTTCAAACCAAGTTAGAACGGAACTATTTTACCGACCTTGTTCATTTGGCTAATGGCGGAGGACATTATTTCATTTCATCGGAAACTCACGACACGATTACACAATAGTTGGAAATGAAACGTTGTCACTCGATAGTCGATAGAAACTGATTACTATTCGTATTTTAGCCCGATGGTAATTTTTTATTAATTACTTGAAACACTTTTTTGGCCAACTTGATTTGTTTTATGTTTTCTAAAGCTCTAACTAATTATGTGACCAGATGCGAAGTATTCGAAAAGGTCCGAACTATTTGACCACCGTCGAACTATTCAAAAAATCGAATACTCGTAGATAGAACAAATCGAATCAAATAGTAGGTTTACTATTCGATTCGATTCAAAATTTTGAATATTCGCACACCCCTACAAAAAACATATAAAAACAGCCGTTAAATTAAAACACTCAAGATAAAAAATTGACCAACATGCAGTAACTCATAACTCCACACTTAGTAACTCTTGCAGTTAACACTTTTTACTCTTTGTTTTCCTCAATGTATCATTTATTTACTGCAGTGAAGGCAGACACTTGATCTCTTGGATTAATAGGTTACAACTATGGAGAAGCCTTATGATCAATGTGCTAATTTGATTGCTGGGAATGCTATAGTAATTTTTTGTTTTTGAATTGCAATAATTTGGTTATGAAAATTGATTACAAACCAATTTGTTTATTTGGAAACATCTGAAACATCTTGTACTCAAATGACAGAATGCTCTTATCTTGCAGATCAGAGATCCATACAGGTGGCTGGAAGACCCTGATAGTGATGAAACCAAAAAATTTGTGGACGCACAAAATGCCATCACTCAACCGTTCCTGGAGAAATGTCAATATCGAACAAAAATAAATGAATATCTCACAAAATACTGGAACTATCCAAAATATTCTTGTCCCTACCGGCACGGAAATAAGTTCTTCTTCTACAAAAACAGCGGTCTACAAAACCAAAGGTTTGTATCTATCAACACTGTATAAGCCGTTTAGAGTTCAAAATAAATCAAATGTATAACCTTCCTGGTGTCTTGTCAATTTTTTTCGTAGTGTCAGGCAATTTTCGGGCATTATGCAGCAATATGATAAAAAAAATAAATGTTTTATTACCTCAAGTGTTCACTCAACCAAAACTATGAAACAAAGTTATAATAAAAACATTCACTTTCAATAAAAAAAATAAATAACTAAAGCGTGGAACAATGTAGGCCTACAAAGAAAAAAAATGTTTAGCTACAGTAAGAACAATACAGTAAGAAATTATAGTCACAAATGTTAATCGGAAACCAAACGCTCTCTCTGCAGTCTCCGCTTAGTACCACGAGTTGACCTCTAGAAGTGCTGTAGTTTATGGTAGCATTCACGGCGCACTCTTACATTGCATTCAGGGCAACAGAATCTTGTCCTTCCTTTGCTGCATACCATACACATCCTTTCACATTTCCTTGTCAGCTCCTTGAGGAGGTGTTGATCTCCGGCTGGTCCAGGGTAGGTAGAGGTTCCTGAGGGATTCCAGCTGCTACAAGAGCTTCAACGATGGTGATATGAAAACCTCTTCTCTCCAGTAGATTGTCTGTGTTAATTTTGTAAAGAACATATTGATTTACCATGCAAATGTTTACAAAGTTGAAACAATCTTCTAATACTCACTAGTAGAGCGGTTATGTGACATTTGGTAGACAGACTTCTCTTTGACGTCAATTCCGCCCTTTGACTGGTTGTAATCATGAATCAAAAGAGCTCCCTTTTTACTTTGTACGATTCCATCCTCAGCATTGTGGGCAGTTGTGATAACAAAATATTGCCTTGTCTAAAATAAATACTTTCCTAGGCACCAAGAACTGGAGGTATTTTTGGCAGTTCTAGAAGGTATATAGACTTTTTAATAATTGTTCCGGTTAAAAAGGTTTGACATTCCAAGAGTCGCTCAGCTAAGGGGATTTTTGTATAAAAATTGTCAGTGTATAGGTGGTACCCTTTATCCAATAATCTAGTTTTCAAGATAAATTCATGACAACTCTTTCGGTGAACAGTTCTTAAGGATCATTGGCTGGTAAATATTCTGCCCTGTTGTGTAATTATTCAACATGCAAAACATTGAATTGGTATTACTGTCACATAGCTGAAATTTTAAATTCCATATTGCTCGTGCTTTTTGTTTGGAAGGCACTGTATAGTTTCACAGCGGTTCTTCACTCCGCTCAGAGTCTGGATCACTAAAATCTTCATCTAAAGCAATCCTAATAACCAGTAGCTGTTCCTAGGGGGGGGGGGCTACAAGGGCTAAAGCCCCCCCCTTGTACCCTGGAAAAATAAATTTAATCTTACATTTCGTCCTTAAAACACGCAATGTCATAAAACAGACATCAATGTAGTTTTTATTAAACTTAATAAGCAATGGCAGGAGTAGTATTAAGTTTCACATGGATAAACTTTGTGGAAAATAGTACAACAAATAAAACAAAATTATGCTATTTTTGTACGCATCATTCAATTTTTACAGCAGTCAGCTGTTGACATTAGGGCAAAGGCGAGCGCCGAGCATGCGAGGGGAAACAGCTGATTTCCTGATGTTCCATAGTTAGGTGTCAAATTGTCTGCTAGCCACTAACATTACACAAGCATCAATCAGCAATCTGCGGTAGCACCAGTAGCCTATTACCATTGACTATATAAACACTAGTGTTAAAGTTTATGTAGACAAGGCTGCTACTGAATTTCATACTATACATATTGTGACAGATCTATGAAATGGAGAAAAACGTAAGGTTAAAAAAACATGTCTACTTGCTTGAATGTACCTGTATTTTTTTTTTTTTTTTTTTTTTGAACCTGTATTTTTTATAACAGGTGAAATGGAAGGTTTTAGGACCATTGGGCACAGTTCTAGCCGTTAGAAATGGCTTTATAAAGTCACCAAAACGCTTTTAGGAGATATGGCTTCGTAGTCTACAGTAGGCCTATGTTTTGAAATTAATGAATGGAAGTTCGTCATGGTTTGATTTTTGAAATGTCTATTTGCTCATGACAAAGACAAATAACAGGAAAATGGGAGGTTTTTGGACAGTTGGACACAGATATAGACATTAATAATGGCTTTAGAAAGCCAGTAAACAGCTTTAAGGAGGATATGGCCGTAGCCTACATTACGTTTTGAGATTTATGAATGCAATCGTCATAGTTAGTTTTAAAAATGTCTACTTATTCATGACAAATAAGTGGGGAGATGGGAGGTTTTTGCACACAGCTCTAGACCAGTGGACATCAATTAAATGGAGGTCCATTCCAAGTTCCTACAAAACTGTCACGGTCCGGGGGGTCTCCCCCAGAAGAAATTTCAAAATGTCATTTAAAATGGTGTGATTTTAGCCTATTTGCGCATGCTATTTGTAACATTTTTTTGTTGCCAAAATACCATATAAAAGTTTGAATTTATCAGAAAATAGCTTATTGTTTAGGTTTGGAAAAAATTCACAAATTATTAATTGTGTCATAAAATTTAATTTCACTTAGAAATTATACATAAAGATTACTCACATAGAATATTCAAACTCAGTGAGAGAAATGACATTTTTTATTTTGGGCCACTTCTCTAAAGTTTGGAATGAATCCTGTGCAGCTGATTCTCATCAGGTTGTTGAGGTGGCTGTCACTGAGGCGAGATCTTTATTTATTTTTGATAAAGTTCATCCTTGAAAATGCCAACTCACATGTGTACGTTGATCCAAACATTGTACAAAGTTTGATGGCCAAGTTTTTCAGTGCAGGATATTTTTCACTGCTCACATACTTAATCCAAAATAGCTCACACAAAAGTTCTTTCGGGACTTGTCTAAATTTGTCCTTCAGAACAATGTCTTCCTGGAAATCTATTATTTCCATTTGAAGGGCTGCTTTATTACAATTCAAAACTTCTGCTGCTTCATTGGTCCACTCTCCATTAGGCTTTAGAGAAAAACAGTTATTTAGGACTTGAACCACATTCCCTATTTTGTCAAAGTCACAAAATCGAGCTTCTAACTCAGATTTGAGGTCGTTTAAAAAGTTTACAAACTGTTTCATGTCAATAACGTAGTTGGTTTCACAAACTGAGTTCAGGCTGGGAAAGTGCACACGTTCGTTACTGATATCTTCACACCAAAGAACAACTTTTCTCGTAAAGTTTCTAATTTCTGAGAGAAGTTCACACACAAAAAGTCCTTTCCCTTGAATTTTTAAGTTTAAAAAATTGAAATGTCTGAAGACATCTGTCAGGAAAGTTAATTTTGGAATAGTGTCTTCTGTATCAAGCAGAAAGCCCAAGTGTTCATTTGCAACTTCTTCACTACATTCTGAAAGAAATACTTTTATGTCCTCCATAACAGCAAAAAAACCGTTGGAGTACAAATCCTTTGCTCAGCCACCTTACGTTGTTGTGAAGTAATAATTCGTCAAACTGTGCTTCAGTTTCCTCAAGAAGTGATTTGAATTGACGGTGCCTAAGTGAAGACTTTGATCCTATGAAGTTAATGATCTTAACTACAGTTTGCATTGTACTTTCAAGAGCAGGATTCAGTTTGCAACACAACACACTTTGATGGATAATACAGTGGTAGGCTAGCAAACTTTCATTAAATTTAGGGTCTGTTTTCATTCGACTTACCAAGCCTTTGTTTTTTCCTGTCATCGCACGAGTACCATCCGTCGTTACTGATATATTTTTTTCAAATCCAAGTCAGCTTTCTCTTCTCAAAATAGTCCATTAAAACGTTGTATAGGTCCTCTCCGCGTGTTTGCCCAGATATTGGCAACATAGTTAACAATTCTTCCACAAACTGTTCTTTTTTACTGTCCAAAAACCTCACAAAAACAATCAATTGAGCTGTATCGGTAATGTCACTTGATTCGTCCAATGCTAAAGCGTATCTATCTGTCTGTAGCTGCTAGAATCTGTTTCAAGCTTTTAGAACTTTCTTCTGCTAAAACTTCAGTGTTTCGTGTGCTGGTAGATGCAGAAAGCGGCATGCATCGAATAGTGTCAACAACATCTTGTTTATTCTCAAATAACACGTTTCCTGCCTCAATCATGCTAAACTCTCAATCTTAGACTTGCGAAGATCACTTCCCATTGGGTATTTTGTATCAAAAGGCTTGTGTTTAGTCTCAAAGTGTCGTTTAACATTTGAACTCTTGACAACAGATACTGTTTGTTGACATATCAAACACACAGGCACAGCTCCACTTTTGTTTGGAAGTATAAACCAATACTGGTCCGTCCACTCTGGTAAAACTGCCTATTTTCACTGTCTACTTTCCGCTTTTTGTTATCCATTGTAAGTAATTCGCACTACACTTTTTGCATAACTAACACACAACAGGATGAATAATCAATGAGAGAACTAAACACCAAATTAGTAAACAAACAGACGACGCGACATCGACAATGCTGACTACAGCCAGTGCGGGCGGCCTGGTGATGACGACGTGACGTGGCCACTGGGTGGGCGAGTTCAATTAGCGATGGAGGGGAGGAAGCGTAAAGAAAAAGCCGGTACATAGCATCGCTCATAACGGTTTTTATCTAGCGCGGAGCGCGGCGAATTAACTATAAATTAACTATGTTTCGATAAAAATAGTTTTCTGGTATCAAATATTTTAATCTTTAATGGTTGGTAGCGATATATCTGTAGGTTCAAATAAAGTTTAAATTCACTAAAAGATAAAAATACATAAAAAACACAGTTTGTGAATTCGAACTAACGTTCCGTAAAAAATTAGGCGGCGGTCCGGATTCAGACCGCGGTCCGCCATTTGGGGACCACTGCTCTAGACATTAAACTGGCTGTAGAAAGTCACCCAACGGCTTTTAGGAGGATATGGCCGTAGTCTACATTATGTTTTGAGATTTATGAATGCAATCGTCATGGTTTAATTTTTTAAATGTCTTTTTTCTCATTACAAACAACAGGGGAAATGGGAGGAGTTTATGGACAATTGTCCGCGGTTTTAGATGTTAAAAATGGCTTTAGAAAGTCACCAAACGGCTTTGAAAATTCAAATTTTTTCTGGGGGAGGACCCCGGGACCCCCCTGCTTTATTGGGTGTGCACCCCCCAAGCCCCCAGGTAGCCCCCCCTTGACAAAGTCCTAGAACCGCCACTGCTAATATCGCTGCTATCCATTTTCACAAGAGAAAATTAAATAACAAAACACTTGTAAACAACAACTCGACGGCAACGAATCTGAGGATGGTTTCAATCTGAGGAGAAAACCACAAAATTACTGGTAGCCGCGTACCTTACCGATTTTGTACCGAGAACTGAGGTACAAAATACTGCACCGTATCGACCTTAAATTTTCTGTACCCCAGACCCCTAGCAAATTGTGTTGTAAGAAAATAACAAATTTGTTGAACTTTCAGTGTTCTCTATGTACAAAACTCACTGGAGGATGAACCGAAGGTATTTTTGGATCCTAACACTTTGTCTGAAGATGGAACTGTCGCTTTGTCGGGTAAAGCATTTTCTGAAGATGACAAGTTACTTGCGTACGGATTGAGTCAGTGTGGATCAGATTGGATCACGATCCACTTCAAGGATATTGAAACTGGTAAGTTGCCCAACTTATACTCTGTTCCATGTTAACCATGCACTACTATAACAGGTTTCAATGGGAGGTATTTGTTCTATTTATCGTTATTGGAAATATTTTTTTGTCCACTTAAAATTGGGATTTTATTCTTCTACTAATTTAAAAATTACCGTAAACATTATGAGCCACTTATTAGTTATTACCTTTTAGCCACTGAAAAGTTAGTTAAGTTTATCAACGTTCTTTTAAAGGTGAGAACTTCCCAGAGGTTTTGGAGAAAGTGAAATGTTCGAGTATGACTTGGACTCACGATAATAAAGGAATATTTTATGGGGTAAGTTACTTATTTACTATGTGTAAGACATTTTTGTTAATTAATTGTCGTCTACATTTTTCTGAATTTTTATTACAGCAGTTGGTAAGTAAGTCAAAGTAATGGCCGGTTGAACAGTGGCTTGTTGAGACGATTAAGTACCTTTAATTATCACATTAATCATCCAAATAATTTAAATATTAGTTTTTACTCTTTAGATTCCAGTTTGTACAAATTCACTCAAATGTTCTCTGGGTCACTTGTATACATACAAATATAAGCAATAGTTACACAACTCACTTACCGGTACCCTATAAAAGAGATCCAGGCAGTTGGAAGTACACAAAAACTTCATAACACAAATAACCTTTTACAAATAAATCTTTTTTCAGTCTCTTGATCTTACAAAAGATTATAACACCTAAAATTTGTCAAATTAACATATTCTTTTGTTATCAACCACTGAATTGAACTAACAAGAATTTGGATACAAATTTGATACCGTACTAAATGTAGAATCTATGAATAAGAGAGGTAAATCCTTTGTCTAAAAACTCTCTGAATTACTTGTTGGATATAGTATTCAAACATTTTATTTCAATAATCTATGGTTTATATTTTTTTGTCTTTTTCCAGCTGGTATAAAAATATGAACTTTAATAATTTTAACACATATGATTTTTGAATGAATAGTTATGTTGAAAATAGAAAAATAACTGTTTGGTAGCATTTTACTATGATTGAGTAACTTTTCATTTGTGAATAATTAAATTATTTTCTGCCCAGTATCTAGTCTATTTCTCTTTCCATTTTTGACTTTTAACATTTGGCGACCGTGACAGGACTGTATGAGTTCTTAAACAGATAGTCACTATTGAGATAATGGAAAGAAATAGGAAACTGAGAAAAACCTTCAGAACAGCATTTACCAGAATTTATAATGGAATTAATGAGGAGCTATGCAAAGATGAGCAAGACCTACACAATATACAGGGTAAATTGCGCTCTCTGGAAGGTAAGATAGAAGAACTAAAAACTTTGGACAGGGAAATTTTAGATTTCTTACTTGATTCTGAAGCAGATGAAGAAGAGTTAATTGAAGAAGTTAGGCTAGCAGATGAATATGTAGAGAAGTTTAATCGAATTAGTATAGCTGTACAGAGTAGATTGATTAGGTCTAGGGCTACTACACCTGAGTCCAATGGGTCTGTAATGAGTAAATCTACTGCTGTTAGGACTAAGCTGAGGCTACCTACTATTGAATTCACAAAGTTTAGCGGGGATTTGAAGGATTGGCTACCTTTTTGGGCACAATTCAAAAGAATAGATGATGACGAGAATATTGACGATATTGATAAATATCATTATCTTGTGCAGGCTACTTTAGCTAATTCTAGGGCTCGTCAGCTGGTCGAAAGCTATCCTGCTACCGCTGAGAACTATTCAAAAGCTTTGCAAAGTCTTAAAAGTCGTTTTGGTAGAGATGACCTTCTCATAGAAGTGTATATTAGAGAGCTTTTGAAGTTAGTGCTGAGTAATTTAAACAGTAAGGTAGAAGTTTCTTGCATTTACGATAAACTGGAAACCCAGCTAAGAGCATTGGAGACATTAGGAGTAACAACTGACAAATGTTCTGCTATGTTATATCCTCTTATAGAGTCTTGTTTGCCTGAGGAACTGTTGAGAGCTTGGCAGCGTCACTCCGGCTATGAAGTTGATGCTGAACTTAAGGATAGACTTGATGGTTTGATGAAGTTTCTGCAAAAGGAGGTTGCTAACGAGGAAAGGATTACTCTAGCCGCATCTGGTTTTGAAAATAGTAAGCGACCTAACCTACAGCCTAAAGTAAGTAAATCTACTGTATTTCGACCTAAGCCTAGTTACGCCAGACATACTGAAATGATGCCGACAGCTGCTGGTTTAGTTAACCCAACGAAGTCTGATAAGTTAAATACTAAAGACGTTAAATGTATGTTTTGTGGTTCCAACCATTTAGCTGAAAACTGTAAAGACAGTAAATTGACAGCAGACGAGAAGGTGAAAATCGTTGTAAAAAATGGTTGTTGTTTTACTTGCTTGAAGTATGGTCATAGGAGTGCGCAATGTAAAATTAGAGTAAAATGTCCCATCTGTGGAAAGAGGCACACCGCTGTTATGTGTAGGGCGTCTGCTGCAGAAGGAAGTTCATTGAGTGAACAACCAGGCAAAGAAAGTTCTCTAGCAAACAATGTTCACACAGAAGTGTTTTTACAAACCTTTTTAGTAAAAATTAGAAACCAAAATCGAGAGCGAACAGCACGTGCTTTAATAGATACGGGATCACAGCGATCTTATATTTTGAAAAATACAGCAAAGGAATTTGGCTACGACATAGTCAGAAGGGAGAAGCTAGCTCATGCTTTATTTGGTGGCACTAGTACTGAAACAATTGAACATGCGTGTTATAAGGTTAGACTAAGTGACTTAAATAACAGCTATGCCTGCAATTTTGACGTTCTTGATCAAGATATAATTTGTAACGATGTTACAACAGTTAAGCCTGGTCCTTGGTCCATAGAGCTTGGAACACTGGGAATTAATATAACAGATGGAGACGGGCCTATTGAAGTTCTGATAGGTGCAGACGTTGCCGGGAAACTTTACACTGAGAAACGATATCTGCTTTCCAACGGGTTAGTTGCGATGCACACTTTGTTGGGCTGGACTTTAATGGGAAGAACTACAGTTGAAGGGAATGACAGGTCCAGTTCTATGGCAGTAACTTCTTTACTTTCCCCTATTGATAATAAATCCATTTCAGATTTGTGGAGTTTGGATGTTTTAGGAATCAAGGATCCAGTGGAGGTCAAGAGTGAATCTTCAGTTAAAAGTAGAACAATGGAACATTTTGTAGAATCTGTTTCAGTGGAAAATGATGGCAGATATCAGGTCAAATTGCCATGGGTTGATGATCACCCGCCGTTACCTACTAATTTAAAAGTAGCACAGAAGAGACTCAGTAATCTTACAAATAAACTTAATTCTAGTGGATATCTTAGTTCATATCAACAGGTGTTGTCTGACTGGGAGGAATTAGGTATCATAGAGAAGGTTAACGATGCTGATTTGGAAATTGGTCACTACCTACCGCATCGACATGTGATAAAAGAAAACAGTCTTACCACGAAATTGAGACCTGTATTTGATGCATCCGCTAAAGAAAAGAATCAGCCCTCGTTGAACGATTGTCTAGAAAAAGGGGACAATCTAATTGAATTGATTCCGTCCATATTAAATCGGTTTAGACTACACAGATATGGAGTTGTTGCTGACATCGAGAAGGCTTTTCTTCAGATTGGTGTACATACGGATGATAGAGATTTTCTTCGTTTTTTGTGGATTAATGAAGATGGTCAATTGGTTGTTTACAGACACGCTAGAGTGGTCTTTGGAGTTACCTGTAGCCCATTTATGCTAAGTGCAGTAATAAAACTTCATTTAGAAAAAACATTAGACTTGATAGATTCTGGATCGTTAAACTACTCAAGAAAAGTAGTAGAGACACTGTCGAGAAGTTTCTATGTAGATAATTGTATGGCAAGTTTTGATGACTTTTCAGAATTGAATCAATTTGTAGATCAAGCGACTTCTGTAATGAAAGATGCTAGATTCTGTCTTCGGAGTTGGGAGTACACAGAAATTCAGAGTTTTAAAAATGATTCTACCTTGACACCTATCTTAGGTTTAAATTGGAACAAAAATACTGACATGATTGAGTTGAATTTTGAAAACTTTGTTTTTAAAGAACCTGAAATAGTCACAAAGAGATCTATTTTGTCTTTTGCTCACAAGTTGTTTGACCCCATAGGTATAACTTGTCCTGCTACACTCTTGCCTAAGATATTGCTGCAGAAAACGTGGGAAAGTAAAATTGGATGGGACGACAAGGTTTCAGAAGAGTTGAAACTTTTGTTTTTAAATTGGGCAAAGCAACTTGAGGTTTTTTCAAATTTGAAAATTCCAAGATATTTTGGGTATGAAATCGGAGGGAATATTTCTTGGACAGTTCACTGTTTTTGTGATGCAAGCCAGGACGCTTATGCGGCCGCGGTTTTCCTGAGGGGTGAATCTAATGGACATACCACAGTTCAATTAGTTCAAGCGAAGAGTAGAGTTACACCTGTCAAGAAGATGACTATTCCTCGGCTGGAGTTACTGGCGGCTACCATTGGCGCTCGTCTAACTGACAACGTCTTAAAGAGTATGGGATTTGAAAATGTCAAAACATTTTATTGGATCGACTCAACCACCGTTTTGTCATGGATTCGTCGAGAAGATTACTGGGGAGTGTTTGTTTGGAACCGAGTAAAGGAAATAAGATCCCTTAGTAACATTGAATCTTGGAATCATGTTCCAGGCCATATGAATCCAGCTGATTTGCCGTCACGTGGATGTTCTCCTAAGCAGCTAGTAGAGTCGAAATGGTGGGAGGGACCACAATGGCTAAGAAACTCATCAAACTTGTGGCCTAACCAAAACTTCAGTGATGTTTGTGATGAGAAAGAAGTAAATTCTGAACTTAGGAAGATTAAATTAACTACAAAGATTCTGATTAATTCAAAACCTGAACCAGATTGTTGGCATTACAGATATTTCTCCAGATTTGATAAAGTCGTCAGATTGGGAGGCTGGTGGGAAAGACTCATAAGACTATTGAAACAGCTTCTTCGCAGAGTCTTAGGAAGAGCTAGTTTGACTTATGAAGAACTTTTGACCGTTTACATTTCAGAAGACAGCCATGACATGGAAGTTTTGACGCCAGCTATGTTTTTGTATGGTACGAAGGAGTATGGAGTTATTGATTTGGACCAGATCAACTGCACAAATTTGTCTCGACGTTGGAACTTTAAATTAAAATTAAAAGAAGATCTTGAACAAAGATTTAGAAGCGAATATTTAAGTCAATTGGTGTTACATTCGAAGAAGAAGAAATCTCGTCAAGTGCAAGTTGGAGAAATTGTTTTACTTGGAAGCGACAATACCAAACGGATGGACTGGCCTTTGGCGAAGATTGAGAAGATACTTCCTGGAAAAGATGGCAACATACGTCTTGTGGAAATGAAAACATCAAAAGGAACAGTGCTGAGACCCATACAACATGTGTTTCCACTTGAATTAGTCCAGCAGAAAGACAATCAAGATGGTAATGAAACATTCGAAATGGAAGACGAACAAGTAGCTGAAGGTGTTGATCGTGAACCTGATCAACCTGTTTACACACAAAGAGGAAGAAAAATTATACCCCCACAAAGATACCTGAATTAATAATTAATATTTTGACTTTGCAAGTCAAAAGGTGGGAGAATGTTGGATATAGTATTCAAACATTTTATTTCAATAATCTATGGTTTATATTTTTTTGTCTTTTTCCAGCTGGTATAAAAATATGAACTTTAATAATTTTAACACATATGATTTTTGAATGAATAGTTATGTTGAAAATAGAAAAATAACTGTTTGGTAGCATTTTACTATGATTGAGTAACTTTTCATTTGTGAATAATTAAATTATTTTCTGCCCAGTATCTAGTCTATTTCTCTTTCCATTTTTGACTTTTAACAAGAATTTGGATACAAATTTGATACCGTACTAAATGTAGAATCTATGAATAAGAGAGGTAAATCCTTTGTCTAAAAACTCTCTGAATTACTTAAAAATTTGGCATTGAAATAAATAGTAAATTATAATAATTTTATCCACAATTAAGAAAAGTTGCACTGGGATAATAAGTTTGTAGGTTTGAATAATCACAACATTCTGTATTAATCATGATTTGAAATAGTACCACACTGTTTCCACAGAATGCAGTAAAGAACACTATTTTACTTTTGTATAAGTCCAAATCCCCTATCGCAGCACACCTGTGCACTCAACAACCTTTAAGTTCTCCACGATTGAATATGTAAACATAAAAAGTAAAAACCTTTATCAAAGTATTATCAAAAATAAAAAGGATTGGCAATGCCTTAATACAGTTGGGTTGGCAATACAGTCCAACCTCGGTATAACGAATCTGAAAGGACCAAACTGAATATTCGTTATATCAAGGATTTTGTTAAAACGAGGTTCGTTATATTGAGGTTAGGTTTGCAGGAATTTCGCTAAGTCGAGGTTCAGAACCATCATCAGTCAATATAGGTCGTGATTTGATCTCAAAAACACAATTAGAGTAGCATAGGCTACAATACTTTACAGTACAGTGTTTACATGTTTACAGGTTACAAACTGTAAGTTTAAAATCACAGCTTTCTCTAACCCACCTAAAACCTAGCCAAACACTGTATTGTATAGCATTAAACCACGTAAAGAACAAAACAAAACAGTAGAGAGTTTTGTAAGCTACTGCTCGTGATAGGCCGGTAGGCTACAGTGCTACAGTACTGCTTTAAATCACAACAGAGGAATGTCAATACTGTAATAATCATCAACTATGGAATTGGTGTTGCCTTAGTTTAAACAAATTATATTGAAAATAATAAAATTATTAGATAAGTCGTTATAAAAGTATTTAATCATAGCCAACTTAAAGATAATAAAAACACTTGTAAAAGGAATGTTAAGATAACAATGTTTCTATTCTTTCTCTTTGCTTTGTTCTTCTATTTTTTTCTTTCTTAGGTTTTTATTCATCCAAAAATTGTACAATTCACCATATTTACTTATCACCCAATCACAGCATAACACACATTACGTCGTCATCAATCCTCAGTGAATGAAATCAGTTCTCAGTTGTAACATAGCTCGCGCATGCAGCGACGACAGCAGACGGCAGACAGCGATGTGTTAAAATGGAGCAGACGAATGTTAGCGTGAGCGATAACGTCACCTTTCCATTTCAGTTGTTTAAAAACAATAATGGGGGTAGGGGGTTCGTTGTATCGAGGGAGGGACGCAGACAATTCGTTAAGTAGAGGTTAAATTCGCTATGTAGAGGTTCTGACAATGATAAATTTGTCATATTGAGGTGTCTTATTTTATCCGGGATCATGAAAAATTCGTTAAATCAAGGTAGTTGATATGGTTTGTTCGTTATGTAGAGGTAAAACAATAAAACATACATTGTGTCTTATGGAGAGTTCTAGGGGATTCAAAAAAATTCGCTATATCAAGGAATTCGTTATATTGAGGTTCGTTATATCAAGGTTAGACTGTATCTTTTGTTATATACCCACACAATCTAACATAAATTATAAGTGAATAATAATCGTGCGTGCTATCCCAGGTATTTAAATGCCCCCCAATTGTCATTAACCCACCACATTACCGTCATTAAAAGAAGGAACTCCAATGTGAAACTTAAATCCACACAAACTGTGCAACAGAACACGACTGACGATTAAAAAAATGACAACAAACTTGATCGAAGCAACTAATAATCAGCTAATAAGCAAAAAATAATCAGTGGTAAGTTTAAATATGTAAGTATAAATATAAAGGAGATAGTCTTAATAGTCTGAATCCAAAGAATACCGATTATTTCATCCAAATTATCCTTTGAATTCAAGCGACTACAATTTCCTTTGCGTCTTGCTTTTGCAATCACCATTATAAGGCACAACCCCTGACTATCGCCGGTTTAAATTTAGAAAATATATGCTTTTCACACTGACAGCTGTATGTTGCGTGCTTACGTGGTGGTAGGTACCCCTAAAACCTTGTATATTTATACACCTAATGAAAAAACAAAAAACATTGTTTATCCACTGGCAATTAAGAATAAATATTCTATTTTTGTTTTTGGTATACATTTTTATTATTTATCGTAAAGAACAAATTACCATTTTAAACAAAAGTTAGTAGCGCAGCAACTCGCGCCGGGTAACTGCTAGTATAATTTAGATTAAGCTACAAAAAGTGGTGGGGGAACCCAGGAAACCTTCCCATTTAACCATTGACTAGTTCTGTTTCACTCTGAATGAAAAACTGCAAAGACACAAGGTAAAATATAAACAATCAATATTTACAACATAAGGCCATCACCATCATCCTCATAGCCATTATTTGGTATTTGGCTACGGTTACACACCTGTTTTAGGTAGCCACTTTGTACATTGAAATTCTGAACCACCGATCTAGTTTGTTCATAATTGTAGAGATATCCAGACCAAGTGGGGAAGATTTCTGGTTCTGAGACGGAGTGCAGTAAGAACCAGAAGCTGTACTACCACACTCTAGGTACTCCACAATCCCAGGACGTGCTGGTGGCAGAGTTCCCTGAGGAACCATCCATCATTATGTGAGTTACTGACAGATAATTTAACATTTAATGGTATGAGGGTTGTCCGTAAATTAAGTTCAAGCTTCCGTCATAGCCCAGAGAGATCAAGTCTATACTAGGGTCCACGAGAGTCTGCAGTTGGCGTCAGCCAATGACAATACAGGGCTAGTACAACGTTGCCATATCGCCTGTTGACGAAACTAATTAAAAATACTAAACAATATTTTCAAATCAGCTGGTGTTTTTAGATTTGGCAACAACATGCGATCCTCATTGGCTCCTTCGAAATCCTGTGGTAAATAGGCTCCTCCATCAACTGCAGACTCTCGTGTACCATACTGTAGGGATCTACAATATTTTGGGTCAGGTCAGGCCAACAGTTGGTCCGAGGGATTGGTTTGTACCGAAAATAATATTCAGTCCATGCTGAGGTCGGTACATTTATGTTAGATGGGTGCGAGCTGCTTAGTTTTCAAGGAGATTTTTCACGAAGATACAGGATTGAAAATTGATGATTTCACTACGATCGTCGTTGATGTTAACAGTTTTTCTGTGACCCTGAGATACCATTATGTCCAGTTGCTGTTCCACGTGCAGTCATTATTGCAGTTCTGGGCCTATTACTGCAATTTTAGGAACATATTCACTATTTCGCCAAGTCCATGGAAGAATTTCACAATTTTGACCGTGGCAGTTGTTCACAATCTTGTTAAGGCCACAAAAACATCCTCTATTTCACCAGGAACTGTGACCTCAGAAGATGTTCTTGATTTTGCCATGACTGCAAAAGATGTTCTTGATTTTGGGATATAATTATTAGGGTCCATTATTTAATTGTTTGAAGTGTTGTTAATTTATACACACACTTACAGTAAATTTGGATACATTAGTTAATCCATCACACTAATAACATAGTGCTAGTGTAGTGTTAACTAATTTCATTCACAAGCACGGTCTTGTTTCAGTGGTGCTGACGTTAGTGACTGTGGCAGATGGCTTTTTATCACTCCTAGAAAGGATTGCAAAGACAACCTATTGTATTTTGCTGATCTCCATTCTTTACCTGATGGGAAAATCACAGGAAAATTAAAATTGACTCCAATAATCACCAAATTTGAGGCTGATTATGAGGTACTCCTTCTTGCTATATTCTATCATTCCTCTAATACCTATGCATGATTATTAGTAGCATCATAATTTGCAGGTAGTAGAACCAGCATTTGTGTCCCAAATATATTTTTAAAGAGTTTTTAAAGTTTTTAGCTGGAATGGTCATTCGGCAAAACTTTCTTTTGAGGCATTTAAAATCATAGAGTTGAGTTTGCTTGGTACCTTTTAATTTTAGCTAATAACTCTCTGAAAAATAAAAATCAATACCCCTTCTCCCAAACAACATTTACTGATAACTTGCGATTACATCGAGTGTCTCGATTGTTCTCAACTTCTTGAACTGTAGTCAAAAAGTGTGTCCTAGAACTTGGGCTCAAAAATGGTTTGGTGTAGAGACTCCTTACTCTCAAAGTTCTTTACTTACTCACAAGTTCTTTTTACACATATGTGCTATAAACCTCACGACATATGCAGACGTTGACTGTGAATATTTTCAGTACATCACCAACGACGGACCAGTGTGCGTGTTCCGTACCAACAAGGACGCTCCCAACTACCGTCTGATCAAGATCAACATGGAATGTCCTTCCCAGGACAAGTGGGAAACTCTGGTCGCTCAACACACTAATGACGTCCTGGACTGGGCGACGGCTGCGGCCAACGACAAACTGGTGCTGTGCTACATTCACGACGTCAAGGTAGTCAATTTGTAAAATATACTTAACGTTGAGATGAAAAAGCATCAGACATTAATCTAAAAAAAGTTGTATGACAGCTAGAAAGTAGGGATGGTCAAGTCTCGAAATTTTGGGAAATTTTCGGGAAATTTTAAATCTCGTTACACGAGACGAGATTTCTTTTTGGCCGAAATTTTTATCGAGACGAGAATTAAAAAAAAAAAAAAAAAAAAATTAAAAACGCCTGCAGAAAGTCAATGCAATACCCGCAATACAGGAGCGTGTTGTAGTTGCGTTTCCTTATTTAATTAATTCTTCAAATGTAAATATTACTTTAATTATTTTAATAACATTTCAGAAGTTTTGCTAAGTGTTAGCAGTGTGAGGAATGTTTTATTACTATAAAAAAGTCAAAACAAGTAACTATTTTATAAAAAATAATATTTTATTTTATGATTTATTTTATTTTAGGATAAGTTGAACTCTATCCTAACTGATATCACTATGTTTCCTAATCGTAGGCATTTTTAATAAGTTAGGCGTGATTAATAAAAAAATGTTATGCTGATGTTTTTTAATAAAAGATTGTAAATATTCTTGCCTATTATCATTATTTTTGTATTTAAACAGTCATCTAACAATGTTACAAAATCAGGTAAAAATTCCGAACCTGCATTTCCCGTTGTGTATGAGAAGGGAAATCCCGTCTCGATCTCGTCTCGAAATTTTATGAGAAATAAAAAATCTCGTCTCGTCTCGTCTCGAACTAAAAATCCAATCTCGTCCATCCCTACTAGAAAGTTTTTAGTATTATTTGTGTTGTAAGAGGAACTTGATGTGTATGTACTAGAGTTGTAGTAAATTGAGCTTCCGACATAAGGTAATTCAAATCTGAGGCCAACGTTATGTTCCTTCAAGCCAATTCCCACTCCTATCTGACATTTAGTCTTGCTATAGTATTCAAAACACTGTGGGAAAGAATTGAAGCTCCATCCACCTATAAATCACATTCTGAGGTTTCAGTTAACAACCGCGATTGAAGTCCTTTGCCAGTTGACGGATGTGTTTTAATTACAATTTTAGGACATAAGAAATGTGTGCAAGGGGTGGAGGGAGTTTCATTTGCTCGATATTTCCAACAACGATTTTGAATATTATGAATGATAGCTGTTCATCAGTCTTGTTTGAAGCAATAACCAAAGTTTGGAGAATTTAACATGTGACCGAACAAGAGAGATTGTTGAACCAATAGGGGACGTTCCTATAATGTCAGCCAGGACTGTAGCCATCCCTGGAAGTTTGCCAACCTCATTGAACAATTGTGAACTAGTGTACATGTTGCTCGAATTCGAGCAATTGCAAAGTATTCTAGGAGTTATTTCAAAACGAATAACAGTCATATTTAAAATAAGTTTAAAAGAGTCAACTCAAAGATTACCGGTGTGTAACTCAGACCATGTTTATCTTCGTTATTGATAAACCTAAAGCATTCCGGCCGGTTTTCTCCTTCTCTAAATGCCTCGCTGTACAGGCAACACAGGTCATTGATAGAGGGCCAATTGAGAACGAACAGTCGTTTTGGGGTAGTGTTAGGGCGCATTTGTAACCTAATAGTTGAGATTGTCCAGGGTCAGGTGCTGACTGTGATGAGTTAAGCCTATTACGCACCACTGTTCTGCTGCGGTCGTTATCACGATTACGCCTCCTGTCTATGTTTCGTTTTTGTCGCGTTGGAGGCATTTAAAAGAAAAAAACAACAAATAAACAAATTATAGGTACACAAAACAACAATAAATGCACAAATTTAAGTTAGAATCATGCTAACACGATCCGTCATAGCGACACAAAACAACGATAAATACACCAATTTTAGATACAACCATACTAACACGATCCGTCTTGGGGTTATGTTTACACAAACTCGAATAGTAAATAAATGTACTCAATGCGTTTCATTGAATTGAAAAATAAATAACAGCAATTAAATTATACAGCTGATCAAAATGTAAACAATTATGTTCTCCATAAGGATAACATGGGAACTTTCAAAGCCACTGGGGCAGAGCCCAAGGGACTTTTTCAAAAATGTAAGGCCAGTTTGCAAATCTACACGACACGCTCTTTCCAATGAGACGTCAATGGATAAAATCGGTTAAGAAATGGCGGAGGAGTTCAACCGACAAAGTTTCATGTAGCGTATTAATTATATAGATGGCCTTCTGTAAACTCGATGAGCCACTTGTGCACATTTTCTACGTCAAACCACTTTTCAGCATACACATCTGTCAACTGGCAACATTAATCTACAGCATTGTCTCCCTTCCTGCCGAAAACCAATCGCAAATCGCAATGTATACTTGGCAAGAGCGTCCCATAGAGTTGGGAATAGGCTAGATGAGAAGTACCAGTAGATGAAGTGAGGAACATGACACTCAGATTTGAGCTATCGTACTTCGCTGCAACATAAGCTTGGTGGAGAACTTAATTAACGGACAGCCCTCTCATGTATTTTTTTTTGCCAGATAGTACAGATAATTCAAGTTAGTTAATCTTCTGTGTTAAGTACTTCTGTGAATCTTTCTTAAACAAAAAGATTATGTAAAATAAAAAGATCTCAGCTACACAAAGCTTAATTCAAGGCACCAGCTTTGCTCTAAGGTGAACAAAGGGATCACCCCATAATTCCAAGTTACAGTATTTAAATTTGAAATAGGCTACTTTTAACTCCGACAAAATTTAATTCCAAGTTATATAAGAGCACTATAGGTACTTAAATACATAATCACAAAACCAAGCTCAAACTAGTTTAAATTGTTGAGACAAAATTGCAAGCCTACACTATTCTTTGTGTTACTTTTTCATGTGTCACATCTCCGAGCAGGTACAGCCTATACCCACCAGCTACCACTTTGAATTACCTCATGTATGTTGAATCTTCTCTTTTAGGACAGATAAAAGTATGCTTAGCTCTGACTGTCCAGGGGATGCACATACTTGGAAACATTTACGTAGCATTTGACATATTGATCCCGTCCAGAGGTGAAGTTCGGATGTTATTTAGAAATATGAGAACGCGGAATTGATGTGTAGTCGTATTATAAGTTTGTTTGCAAATCTCTATACTGGTAATCTTGAATTTTCATATTTTACTTTTTTGGAATTATCAAAGTCAACCTAAATAAAAAAATGAACATTGAAGAATCCATCAGAAAGAAAGTTGATCGTTTCAAAATGTGTATTTAGTTTATCTTTCATCCTAGTTTAACTTTAATCTCTTGTTTGTTATTTGACAGAATATTCTCCAAGTACACGACCTGACGACAGGTCAGCTAGTGAAGGCTCTGCCGCTAGAGATGGGGACCATCACTGGTTACTCAGGCAAGCGGAAGTACGAGGAGATCTTCTATCAGTTCACGTCATTCCTCAGTCCTGGCATCATCTACAGATGTGACTTGTCCAAGGATCAACTGACTCCTTCGGTGAATATCAGTAACCAGATTTATTCAACGTAGGACGAATATGTTGACTTGATACTAAAATATAATTGATTGAATTTGAGTTATTTGATAACAACTCAGCTGATGAAGGCAGCTTTTGTCTGTGTCTGCTGATTTCTTATAGGATTGAATTAAAAGTAGGCTAGTCTTAATTATTTATTAATTTTTTTAATAGTATTGTGTTTTGTTAAAACCGTTGTAGTGGTAGTTGTATAGATGAATAAAAGTTGTTATTAATTTATTCATTCAGTTTTCAAGACTTCATCTGTAAAATATGTCCTTTTCCAGGTTTTCCGAGAGATGAAAGTGGCAGGCTTCAATGCATCTCAGTATGAAACCAGACAAGTGTTTTATACCAGTAAAGATGGAACCAAAGTACCAATGTTTATAATACATAGAAAGGTAAACTGATTTTAACATGAATAAGAAGAATACGTGCTGTTTAGGTTTCATTAAAAATTCATATTTTGTTCTGCTCTCTGAAAGCTACAAGGAATATTTATCTCAACTAAAAATAGGCTTGCATTAAATGAATGAAATGAATTAAAAAAAATCTTTATTTAGGCAAAGTTAAGACTTGCAATTCCTCTCTACCACTTAATCTCTAAAACATAAATAAAACTGAAGTTTTATGACATCCCTTTCACCCTGTATAACTTTTTTGAAATCACACAGTAACATACATTTGGTGGTATCTTTTATTTAATAACTAACTTACTCTGTAGGTTCCAACAACTGTACTGCTCTCAAAGAATATGTTTAATCAAGTGCAATGTTTGTTGCCTACATTAAGTTAAAAATCAACATTTCCTTTAACACTGTTGTAATTTCTTCAGGGAATTGTAAAGAATGGAAAGAACCCTGTACTATTGTACGGTTACGGAGGTTTTAACGTGAGTCTCCAGCCATCCTTCAGTGTTACCAGATTAGTGTTTATCCATCATCTCAACGGAATTCTTGCTGTGCCAAACCTTAGGGGCGGAGGGTAAGCTCTTTTACATGTTTAACCTTTAAATTTTGACATTTCAATCATATCAAATTGTGTCCTCTACCTAGAAATTTGTTTAGCTAATTCTTGATTTTTTTTAATTGAATTTAATACTCCATAAGAATAAGTTATGAATACAATTTAAAAATTACTATGAAGATGAATTGTTGGTAAGATAAAAAGTAATTCTTTGAAACATATTGTTTTAGAAACATGTTGAATATTCTTTGTTTGAAGTTCATTGTTGGTGATGGTGAGTTAATGTTGAATATAAATTTTGCTGCATAATGTTTTTACCACAAACACATTAAATCTGACACATTTAACACATTACACATTACAACATTAAACACACAATTTTTTAAATCTGGTTGATAGGGACAGGAGAGTGAAGGGTTAGTGTAGAATGAAGTGAGATGCCTTGTGTAGCTTTTTTACTGACCAAGACCAGCAGGTTAGTCAGGACCATTTGTGATCAAGATTTATGACTTAGCCCAATGATCAAGGACAACTGGGTCCTGTTTTGAACCATCAAAAAATTTCTGACTCTTCAAATGATAAATCAGCAACCTTTTGATGTTTAGGTGCGCAGTATAACCACTCAGTTAACCAGCTATATCATGAACTTATTACAGGGAGTACGGAGAGCGCTGGCACGACTCTGGTCGGTTGTTCAACAAGCAGAATGTGTTTGACGACTTCCACTCGGCTGGGGAGTTCCTGATCAAGGATGGCTACACGAGCAGTGAGCAGCTGGCTATACAGGGTGGCTCCAACGGTGGCCTGCTAGTAGCCGCTTGCATCAACCAGCGACCAGACCTGTATAAGGCTGCGGTGATACAAGTAGGGTGAGTCAGATGCCTGGTGTGGGTATACAGATAAATGAGATTAAGATGTTATATTTTAAATTACAATTTGAAAAAACTTTCCCAACCTGCTGTTACTTATGGCCAGAATTAGTAGGAGTGAGATATTAGTAATTTGACTAGATAAGAAATTCTTGTAGGACCTGGATTGAATTTTGAAACTAAACCTTGGAAAAAACAGCTACCTAAATAATTGCAATAATTCATGGCTCTACAAAATTTTCAATGCCAGTTGACCATTTGAGGAATCCTTGATTCTCGATAACAGTAGATTTATTAACAATGCCAGAATCTACCATGATAGCTGCAAAATTCTTTAGTAACATCATGATAATCTCCTGTGATCATGCGACTTTGCTGTAGCGTTGTATCTGCCACTCGCCCTGTGTGTGCTCCAGTTGTCCCTGAGATCCACTATGATACCGGGTACATACATATTATACCAACCACACCGATAAATCAACTTCCAAATAAGAATTTAATTAATTTAAATAACAAAATCTGTCTAACCTAACCTAACCTAAACACCCTTAGGTGACCTAACCCCAGTTAGGCTATAATTATAAGCGGTAAAATATGTGCGACATTATATCTTGATTCATTGGGTTTCAGGATTCAACCATAGATAAAACATACTCCCTTAGTAGATTTGTCATCCTTATGGAACAGCTGAAGCCAATTTTATTGTTAGTTCTGTACGTCCAACTGTAGAGGTTAAGTTTTGTTTACAATTTGTTTCTTGATATTTCAGTCATTTAAAACATCATTTAACCAAATAAAACTGCATAATCATAAACAATAACTGGTCTTCTAGTCATATAACCAAATAGTAAATCACAAATCATGAAAATAACCCTTAAATAATAGAAACAAAATTTTTCATACACTAGCGATCTGTGTGGACGTACATGAACTAGACACAAAAAACAAGCTTCAAAATTGTACAATGGGATGAGGAGTCTACTTGTGTTGATTAGTCTATGATTCAACTCATGAATTCAATCATTGTAACTCTCTTCCTCTTGATTTGACAATCCTTCCCTACTTGGGAGACCAATGTTAGTTGTGAGTAAAACCTCTGTGCACATATACTTATAAACATAGCTCAAAATAAAAGCAAGCAGTCAAATTCTTTAGTTGCTTTATATTCCAGTTATTATAGAAGTGTACTAATTCTCATCCCATTACGTTTAACCTCTCAGAAACTTACTTACCTCACCTAAAGTTGAATTGTATAAAACAACCTATTAGCATAGAATAAATAAACACCAGAGAAGAGCAGGGGCGGCCTAAACTGCATGGCATATTTATTCGGGCTGCCCGAGTTAGTTGGGCGGCCCGAGTTCAGAGTGCGCTAGCGTAGTCTTCGCGTCGGAAATGCAGTTCTGCAATACACAGTACGTTGTTGACGTCTACAGCAACGATGCGCTCGGCTCGTAGACCGTAATCGTGCGCTTATGTTTTGGTATAATAAAACTAACATTTGAAATAAACTATTACTTTATTACGCATTAAATTTTATAAATGTTATTATTTGACTGTATAAATGAAATTGTGATGAATGGATTGCAATAAAGAAACTATTGCAGAATGAAAACTAATGACTTATATAGGGGTGTGCGATGCAGCATATTTTTTTCGATTCGATGCATCGATGCGATTCAAAGAATTTCGATTCGAATCGATGCGATTCGATTCGATGCAGCACGGCATAATTTTCTTCAAAAATTAAATACAACATGTGTTTCTGTAATGGATCCTTTACCTTAAAAAAGTTAAAGTAAAAAATGTACTAAATAAAATTATGAACAAGAGGATAGTTGCTGACCTAACCTCATTAATGGACACTGCTAATTTTATGGTTTGCCTAAGGAAATTCACCCTTCACTAACAATTAGAATAAGCCTATATCAATAAAGCAATCGTTAAGTTTATTATTATTGACCTGTATTAAATAAAATAGAGTTTATTTTATGATGTACAGGTAGTATTGTTACTTAGTTTTCACATTTATATTTGTTGGCTTTCAATACTTTTGGTTCATTCTTAAATCAGCATGAACCAAAAAAGTTGATAATCAGTGTTTACTACTACAATCGGATCTTAGGCTGGATCCGGTTATAATGGATCCGATTTTATTTATACTAGGGATGGACGAGATTGGATTTTTAGTTCGAGACGAGACGAGATTTTTTATTTCTCATAAAATTTCGAGACAGGATTTCCCTTCTCATACACAACGGGAAATGCACGCTCAAAATTTTTACCCGATTTTGTAACATTGTTAGATGACTGTTTAAATAAAAAAATAATGATAATAGGCAATATTTACAATCTTTTATTAAAAAACATAACATTTTTTTATTAATCACGCCTAAGTTATTAAAAATGCCTACGATTAGGAAACATAGTGATATCAGTTAGGATAGAGTTAAACTTATCCTAAAATAAAATAAATCATAAAATAAAAGCAATATTAATTTTTATAAAATAGTTGGTACTTGTTTTGACTTTTTATAGTAATAAAACATTCCTCACACTGCTTACACTTAACAAAAGTTCTCAAATGTTATTAAAGTAATATTATTAAAATAATTAAAGCAATATTTACATTTAGAGAATTAATTCAATAAGAACGCCTTCGCAAAGGAAACGCAACTACAACTCGCTCCTGTATTGCGGGTATTGCATTGACTTTCTGTAGGCGTTTTTATTTTTTTTTATTTTTTATTCTCGTCTTGATAAAAATCTCGGCCAAAAAGAAATCTCATCTTGTGTAACGAGATTTAAAATTTCCCGAAATTTCAAACTTGACCATCCCTAATTTATACTATTAACACTAAATGGGCGAGTATTCGAGATTTTGAGTTCGAGTAGAGTACGGCCTTGAAACTCGAGCTTATCTTTGAACTCGCTAGTTTGGTACTGTACTTAAATCCAAACCAGCTAGTGTTGTGTTAGTTTGAATTGGTTTCTTTAATTGTAAGATCATTATTTGTTGAAATGTAACTTGTGTTTACATAAAATGGTGGATAATTTGTATCACTGTAGATTCTACAGTCATACAAATATAGAAATAAGCAAGAGGTAGTTGTCCTAACCTATTTTTATAGCTGGCACGACAGAATAGGTCAACTCAAAGCAGTCGCCGGCGACTGACTGGCAATGGTATACTGACTTGACACAGAATAGAATGACATGATCGGTAGTGATTTTGTTTTAAAGTAGGCCTAGTGTTTCACAATAGAAAATTTCACTACTGAACTGTTACGTAAGCAATAAATTTATGTTTATAAAAGTCAGAATAGAAACACTATAAAGGCAAAACAATAGAAGGGAGGCAGGCGTTGTGCAATGACCTCGAAATGAGCGGAATAGTAACATTGAGTAGGGGGTTGGAAGGGGGGGGAAGGGAAGGGTGAGACCTTTGAGCTATATTTAGACTAGACTTTCACCACTTCCCAAATGGCTGGGTATGGGGATTACAATAGTAGGTTTTTTCCTTGCCTGGTTTGACTTTTGTCTTTTTGTGTAGGAGATTTGAATAATCAAAAATATAATTTGAATTGACCACAATTATTTAGCATTGATAATACAATTTGCAAGGGACCAGGAGGAAATAGAACAAAACACTTAAATTAATAGAATAACACACAAAGTAAACAAGAAATTAAATACAGAACATGGTGATTTAACACTGTCACTGTCATTCAATTTTGTTGTCTAGAAGGGTCGGTGAACTAATCAATAAATAGCCAAAACCAGTTTCCTCCCCCTCTTCTCTCTCAATCTCACCACCTCCCCTCCCCCCCTGAGCCGGGAGGCCCAGCACTTTGTCCTTGAAACACCCTAGCCTCTGAAACAATAAACCCTTACACCGTTGCTGTTTTGACAACAGGTTTATGAATGCGTTCACTATTTTTCATTTTCCAGAATTAACTATCAATTATTATTATTTGCAAGTTACAAAATAGGAAACTACACGACATTATGGTATTCAATTACCCATGTATTATCAAAAATGTATAATTCATTACTTATTTTGATAATAAAAAGCATTCATTACAGCACGCAGCACTTATTGATATATATATATATAATCATCAAAGTATCTGTTACTTTATACCAAATAAAATAGGTACAAAATTGTGTGGCCAGTCAAACTTTATAAACAAACATTTTATTATTATTATTATAAAATACAGATGGTAAATAGGGGTTGGTTTAGAGGAAATAAAATACAAAACAGATTAATTAATTATTTTGATAAACGATAGAAAGGTTATGGGATTGATTGAACTAAAATAACCACAGGGAATCTTAATTAGAAAAGTCGTCAACCACAATCTGTTTAATCAGTACATCGCTAGAGAGAGAGGGGGAGAGAGAGATAGCAGATAAGGGCGTTTGATAGGGAATATGAAAAAGTAAACAAACAAGGAACAACGACGCGACAATAATATAGCCTTATTGTCTCGACCACTACATTTGCACACGTGACCACTTTTTGTTTCTTCCTTATCTTTCATCCGTCCCAAAATGGAATTCCTGAAATAGTTTGTTGGTATAATCTTCCCTCATACACAAGGCGCAGAGCTCAGTGCGCACTGTAGGTTGCCACGGCAACCGTGTGTCGTCATAGCGACTTAGCCAATCACGCACGCGCACTGCGTTGTAGATTACGATACGAATAACCCTCTGACTTCGATCTCGATGTTGTAATTGAATCGAATTTTTCTAATGATGCGTAATGCAGGGATGAAACTGAACATTTAGACAAGTTTAGGTTATTTATTTTGTTCTAAAAATAAAAATAATACATTTAAAGGTCTGACTTATGGATACAGACATTTTTTAGTATAATTTCGTGTTGAGGACACTCGCACGCCGGTTGTCTGAGACTGAATTCTGACTGTCTGACATCTTGAAATGTAGATTGTATTGTGTTGTGCAATATCATCTGCCTGCAGAGAGAACAGCTG